TGCGCCTCTAGAAGAGAGATTCCGAAAGCAGACTGGTCCAAGCCTAGTTGGTCTACACTCATAAACGATCCATATGTCGCTGATGGAGATGCGGCCGTCAAACTTGTCAGCCATCGTACGCCAGGCACGTGCGAGTTTGTTATATGCGCACATGACGACAGCAAACACAATCCAAAACTGGAGTTCAGTGGCCCTGCAAGCTGGATGTTCCACGCTCCAACACGCGCAACCCCACATTCTTGCCATCGAGACGAGATTTAGTGCTTCAAACACGCCCGCTCGACTAGCGCTACTAGTGCCGAGGTCGTCGCCGCGCTTTGGCTGTCACCGACCTCCGAAACCAAAAAACTTGCGACAGAATTGAGTGTGGGATGGTCAAACAGTAATGTTGGAGACATCTCAAGCCCGGATGCTCAAGAAAGCTTCATCGTGAGCTCCGCAGTAGAAAGAGAATCCACACCGGCCGACATCAACGGGACATTTGAGTCCACGAGAGTACCCAAAACCTCCCAAACAATGGACCGTACCAGCGTGTGAGAGTCGTGACCAACGCCTGGTGTTCATGATGCCGCTGCTTACTGGCTGGAAGCAACATCATGTAATTTCCCGCCTTGGGGGCTGGATAGGCTCCTCGACAGGTATCTTCCAGATGGATTGACTCGGAATGGGGCTACGATAATTATGTAGTGCAGCGTGCGCGTCAAGCAGAGCATGGCTTTGAGCAGCAACGAGAACAAGTTCCTCCGCGAGTCTTTTCCTACTTGAAGCCGCGTTCCGCTAAATCACCCGTCCACTTGGGGCGCACCTAGCAAAGCTGAGCACGGTGGCGAGTATCCCGGGCCCTCTGGGTGAAGCTCGCTAATCGCGCAAGCGGCATTGGACAACCTTCACCTGCCAATAGCGGCTTATTTTGCACTCGTCTGCACTCAACCTAGCACACGGCAGCACCTTCCCCTCGAGTCCCGCCCAGGCAGCGCAGTAGCAAGCATGCTGTCTGACTGCAATCTCGATCATGGATCTCACCCGCTCCGGCAAGCATCGGGCTCTCTGGTGTTGAACATCGAGCCTGTGGAGACTCGCGAGTGATCAGCTTTGGTCAGAACCCAAACAAGCGCCGCCTTTGCACCGACCGACGCTCTCTAGGCCCATATCCCCGAGAGTTCCGTTGCTCTACACCTACTCCCGAACTCACAGAGGAGATGGAGTGAAGCCACCCTGGTAACGGTCACCAGTGCAGCTGAGCGATGATGACGCATCACCACAATAGAAGCATGGGTACTCGAGATTATCAAGGTATTATTTTATAACATGGTAGATCTTGTGGTTGGTTCAGAGAGAGCTGGAGAATAACGCCCTGCCCCCTGATTGCCAAGGAGACTAGATTACGAAGCGCGACAAAAAGACCCTGCCGTCCCAATCCCGCTTCGTAAGTTGCGTCATCGTGCACACGCAAGCGAACCGAGCATTCCGTGTGCGATGGTTCCACTGAAGCCGAATGAGCTCAGCCTGGAGCTTCGCTTGCGGCCATCCGTGGCTACTACGTATTTTCGAGTACACAAAGGACCCGAAGCGGGCACAATGTCAGTAGGCATGTGAAATAACGTTCGTGCTACAATCGATCAAAGGTGTGTATTTAACCTGACAATTTCATTGATTACAATTTTGAAGGAAGATGCTACTGTACTGCTTAAGTTGCGCATTGACTGTTACAATGAAGGCACAGACTACGAGAGAGGCAAGACCTGCGGCGGCAGCAGATGCCTCTTAGTGACCCAAATGTGACTTCAAAGATTGGGCTTATACAGTCTACACCTTTACCAGCCTTAGCAGGGCTCCGATGGCAGCCCCGACCTACGCACGCATGATAAATCTCATACGCGCATCGAGCTCAGCAAGACTTCGATTGGATCTCCAAGTATCGTGCCTGTGCCATGGGCCTCCAAAACATTCTCAGTAACAGATTAATCCCGCACAGTTGTCATCAGTAGTCACTTTTATGATGATCCATTTGGTGCAGTAAGACTTGCACTCTGACCATCTTACTGAACGGCTGATCTTGAAATGGAAAGCTCGCCACAGAAGTGTATCAGGTATGTAATTTGGCTCTCTCCACGACAATATCCATCTGCCTACATGTCGAACGTGTGGCAGCGTCCAAGAGGTGACAGCATCCCCGCCGCCGAAAAAGCCAGGAATCCATCCCGCTTCAATAGTCCTACGCCAGTTGATATGGCCTGCGTACACTCGCTTTGCTCTAGAGCTGATTTCGCTAGATGCGTTGTCACTAGAGTTGAACAACAGGCAGTGTCCAGTCCCATGCAAGGGCCAATCAGACCATACAAAAATGATATGCGGCCAGATGCTACTGAAAGGAGCACTGACGTTCCTGCATACATTGCGACTGCAGTCATGGGTAGTCCCTTCTCCCGCTCTGAAACATCTCGATTCGCGGTTAGCGCCCCCATTCCCAAGTAAACGCCTATGCTTGTGACAGAGAAGCAAATACCAGCAGTTGACTACAGTAGGATCAACTGTTGAGGATCAGCGGAGGTGGCTTCAGCGTGCGACATGCCACAGGTCTCAAGCTAAAAAACATTAAAGCTGCCATAAGATGATAAGAAATCAGGATCCCATCATGAAAAGGGGGTCCGTCGCTTGACTACTAGACCAGATTCGAGTAATTGCGCTAGTGAACTTCAGGAGTGAAGGCGATCTGGGAGACTCATCGTAAAATCTTGAATAGCCACGCGCTGTGTGCAAGAGCATTTTGACTCGACCTTCGTGATGATAGATTCTTACTTCGTTCAACACAGAGCGATTACAAGAGAAGAGATGGAGGTGGGAGTGGGGTGGTCAAATGCTAGTGTTGCAGGAATCTCAAGCGAAAGGTGATGTTACAGAGATCATCCTAGTTTGAGAGTACCCAGGGAGGTCAACCCAGCCTCTACCAATGGCTGTGCTCCACCAACCTCAGAGCCAACAATCTCAATTATCGTGAGATTAATTCGTTCCACAATCTGGTCGAAGTGGCTATGGTCAGGAGGTTTAATTTTGGCAGAGACGACAGAGCTCATTTAGGGAGGTCCAGGTCTACTGTGTGGCGGCTGCTCAGAAATCTAGGATGGCTTTACCTGCAACGCTTTCACAGATTCGATGATGGACAGGATAGAGTGGGGATTGCATAGCGTACTGGTGTCACCACAATCCTCGCCATGGACGATTTTTTGTACAATTCAGCGCATGTATTTTCCTGTCATGGTCTCCGGAATTTCGCTGATGGTCACAAACTGTGACGGTGCCGCATATTCCCCAATGTCCACAACACAGTTACTTTGTAGTCGTCTTTCGTCTTCGAGGGACAACTCTGCGCCTGGCATGAGCGTGATGAATGCCCACGGGGTCTATCCTGTCAAGTCATCAGAAACTCCAACTACAATGCAGTTGGCCACTGGCGATGTCTGCCGGAGCTTGTCGCGCAACAGACTTGCCTCTATTTATCCTGTGCCAACCCGATGCCCGTTGACATTCAGCACATCATCAGACCGTCCATGCATAGAAAAAAGGCCAGGTCCGTGGAAGATAGCAACGTCACCTTAAAAAAACACGGGCTGCTTAAATCAATCGAAGTACGTTCATTTAAATCATTTCGCATCGCCTCTCCAGTCTCGATGTCCAACAACTCAAACGTCTCCCCATGTTGTTCGGGCCATGTATGGCCACGGTGCTGTGATGACTGCTTCGCCCGTTTCTTTTGCGGTTGCAGGTCTGAACCCACCCCGTCAATCGAGGTGATCAGTTGGAACCCACGACGAAAACGAAATCCATGGGTAGTTGTACATTCGAGTGTCTGGCTTTAAAGGCTAGTGAATATGTCCATACGAACAGCTCAATACCATACCGCCATGCTCAGTTCCCCAATAGGAGTTGATGTAGTGTGGCGTGATGTGCAACATTCCGAAGAGCTAAACTGTTGGAGAGCATGGTTCAGCACAAAAGGTCGCCACCTTTAGGCTCGACTTGTCGTATTTACACAGTTCTGCGGCTCCAAGACTGTGCGACATCAAATATTTGAGAAACGCCACACCCCCTTTCAAAATGGATACGCTGAACTACTAAATCATTGCGGCGAAGCCTGCTACGTATGGGGAAACAGGATTAGTCTCGGTGATGAGGCTTGTGAGACGATTTGCTAGGCTACCCGCCAGCATGTAAGTCTGGCCAGTAATCCACCCGAACGAGGCAAGTACGAAAATCACGTCCCTGCCCGGGACGACATCAAAGCTACATTGCATTGTCATCATTACACCGGCAAGATATCCGTGCGCATGGACAACGCCCTTCGGCTTCCCCGTGCTTCCGCTTGTATATATGATGAACAGGGGGAAATTTGCCTCCACGGGGCGAGCGGCATGCTGGGGTAGGAATAGTCTGCTCTACCCCCAATCTTCTTGCGTGGTCAAAATATCAGCATCTTTTAGGAAATCTTCAACTACAATGACTTCAAATTTTGTACGCATCTATTGGGCTCGCTGGATAATGCGCGCAATCATCTGTGGTTTGAATATTCGGTGAAGGACAAGCTCAAGATCCACAGCGGACACAGTGATTGAGTCCATTAAAAGCTTTTTCAGCAAGACGAGTCACTCAGGTTCCAACCTTTAATTTTAAAGTTCTTTCAGCAAGGATGCTGTTGGGTGGAAATGTGACGCGACTTCCAACGCTGTGGATGTGCCTTAATCTCCACTTACGAAGAGCGCCTTGGCACCAGTGTCACAAGTTCAGTCTGAAAGCGACTGTGCAGGAGTTATCGGAGGCATGCATGCATAAATAATACCCAGCCTCTTTGCAGACTCGATCAAACAGATGCCACTCAAATTTGTGGGAAACATAAAAATAAGACGATCTCCAGCAACCAAACCACGATTCTTCAAGGCCGAAGAAGCTGCCAGACATCCGAGTAGTAAACTTGAGTAGGACTGCGAATGCGACTCTTCTTTGTGGTCGATGACCGCAAGTGCACAACCATACCCTGAAAGGATATGTCTATCGATCTCGTTGAACGCTATATTGACTGCACCACCTGAATACCATTGAAAGCACGGGCTTAGAGTTTCACTTCACACTGTCTGGAACGGGGCCCAACTGCCCTAGCAGCAATGGGCACCCTCGATGGACCAACCGTTCCATGCGCTATCTTGGCTACGCGCTTGCCAGGATTTGTGTCTAGGGTGATACCAATGAAGTAGATGTTTCACCGTACTGCCGTAAAATTCAAGGTTCGTGCAGATCTGAGTTTACTTCGCCTCTGGGTCTAGGAGTACGGCGCGATGTAGAGTAGATTATTTCAAATCGGGCAAGTCTTAACCCAGATACAGGTGAGATATTGTGGACGCTACCGTCAGCACCGAGTCCTCGCGAGTGAAGACTTCGACATGTTTGGAAGAAAGCTACGTTCAAAAAAACTTGGAGCCATCGACAAGGCGTTGCCATCCGTAAATACCATCAGGGTGGTCCCACGATAAGTAATTCGCTCTTCAGTAGAAATCCGGGCCGTCTAGCGTGGAGAAAAATGCAATCTATCCGACCACGCATGTGGTGCATTACTGATGAGAAGCATCGTATTCCTCAGATAAAAGGATAGCCACACTAACGATAGTGGAAAGCTCGAGAATGTGCTCAGGGGAAATACTTCTGGCACTGTGTTCAAGAGCCTGAATTGTGGTTATGTCTCCCAGTTGTATTGCATTGCCAAAGTTGACTGGTGTTAGCAGCAATGTTGCAAAGGCAAATTCGTAGGTGGTTGCGCGCTTCCACATAGCTTCTTGCAGATGAGGCTCATCGAGAAAGCCGTCTATTGGGGCAGGGTCAATGAGAATCAATGACAAGCATTCGAGGCCGGGCTAGCCCGCCCCCGCAAGTATGAGTGCGAGGGGGCCAGAGAGCGAGTAACCAACTAAATGAATTGAATTAGAACAAACTCCGGACAATTCCTTGCACAGCAAAGAACCATAGTGTAGTGCCCGTCCCCGCATCGCACCGAAGTGTGTCTGCGACGGAGGTATTAGTTCTGGTGCTTGAAGCGTAATTATTGGCCACAAAGCAGGCGCGTAAGACTTCAGTTGAACTGCGACTGGAGTCCCAAAGCCCCCATGCAGGAGCGAAAGTGCGGGGGTACCGCGGGAGCCTTTCTGAATATATATCAGTACTTTCGCAAGAGCTTCAGAGTTGATGAACAGCTACTCTTCCTTGGCAAAAAAAACGTAGCCAAGCTGCCAGCCAAGCTGCAACGTATTGAAGTGTTGCGGTAGTGTCTATATCACTGGACGGGGATCTTGATGAATCGGTTTTATGTCTTTGATAAGCAAGGGTATATCCCTCTGTAGTTGAGAGAGAGTGGACTGTGGATTTCCAAGTAGATCCTCATACTTGATTTGGTAGAAAGCTTCTGGCTCCAACTCGCGCCGACAGGATATGATTTTCTGATTGCAATCAGTCCACATTTCTTCGATATTATACTGCTCAATACTCGAGATGCTATGTTCTTTCAGAAGGGTAGCAGGATGGCGAATCAAGTGCAAAAATACGGGGCAGACGAAGTTCGATGCCACCTTTCACATCCAATAAGACTGTGCGCTCGCAAGCCAAGCCACAGCGAGGATTCTCGGGGCAGTCCACTCGTGCAATGGAACATACAGCCCAGGGGACGTCCCGTAGGATTGAAACTAATATAAGCTTGTGGTTTCTTGGATATTCCGCACCAGCAACAAGAGGGTTTCATCTAATAAACGCACAGAACTTTTGCTATTTTGTATTTGTTCGTGATGCGTATGGCCCACTAACATGGTTGATACTCGCGACAAGTATTTCAAAAACTCGCTGCAGCCACTGTGAGGGAACGCCACTATAAATGCTGTTTTTCGGGTTGGCTTCCTACTTTGAAACACATATTACTCCCAGATACAGCCCGCTGGTGATTGGTCTTGAGAATTAAGTTTGCTGTGTGAGGTTTGTAGTCGCACTTGGCGATCTATGTATACGCCGAGGTTCCGCAAATTCTGCTAGCCAACAAGCGTGGAGTCGTCTATGGTCACATCGAAGCGCTTCTAAACAGACCTCGCTAGGCTCTGGCTAATTTTACTATCAGATTACTATGTATGTCGCTAGAGAGTGACTACTAAAGTTTGCTCCACCTATTGCAGGGGCACATCATACACCTCTTCTATGTGCAATGCCAATGCTGCGATCGTTGGCGTGTCAAATAGTTACATGGGGGGGACTTAAATATCAAGCTACTCATTGACATCATCCACCAACGCCTTGACTGAGCTAGACTTCAGACCCATGGCCATGAATGAAGTATGTCAATGAAACTTTCAAGCAGATGCTTCCAGTCGTGAGAATGGCGTGTCCAAGTCACTGTTGGGACCGCAAAGCTCTTGCAAGAACTCCAAGACAACCCCACTCTGAATTTTTTGCTCGGTTTGCCCTGCACTACCTTCTTAGGCAGATGTTAACTTCTGCTGCATGCTACTGTTCAAGCCGGTACGCAATCGAGCACGGAAGTAAGAGGCAGTCTCCCCTCTGATTGCCAGTCACTATCAATACAATGACTGAGAGAACGCCCCGTGTGCAATGGTTCCACTGAACCCAAACGCACTCAACCGGGAGTATTGATCGTGATCATATGATGATCATTAAATCAGTCCGACAGGCAGCTCGAACAATTACCCCGCCACAATCGAAGACAAATGAGTGTTCAACCTACAACGCTACGATAAGAGATAGTAGCAATAGGTAACATTTGGAAAACAGCCTCAGCTCGGCGTTGGCGCTTACTTCTTGCGTGCAAATGACAAGAAAGGCCAGACCAACAGCAGCCGAAGACGCTTCCGAGTGACCCATATTTGACTTCAAGGATGAGCATTGTATTTGCCGTTGTGTCCCAAATACTGGTTTGCACAGCACCCCAATCACAGCTCCTACCTGCAGTCTTACCCGTGGGAACTACCCCCATGTCATGTGCTTTGCACTTCGATGGGATCTCCGAGCGCTGTCCCTGTGCCATGTGCTTGAAGAACTTGACCAGAAACATGGTTGTCTCGCACGACCTCCATTAATCACCTCTAGGAGTAGCCATTCGGTGCTGTTAAACTCGCGCTGGCACCATTGTGCTAGACAGCAGAGTCGCGCAGCGCACAAAGGCTGGTATCACGAGCTTAAAGTAGGAGTGCAGCACATCCCTCAGCGCGACAATATCCGTTCGCCCGACGGTCAAAAGTGTGGCATCTTCCAGCCAGTGATAGCATTGCAGCCACGGACATCGCAAGATTTGTTATTTGAGTCAGGATCTTAGTTCCAACCCCGATGCCATCTGTGCAGCTGTCTTGGACTGTGGTGGCGCAGAGATGCAATGCCGCCAATGCAGATGCGCACGCAGTATCAATAGAATAGCAGGAACCCACGAGTCCAAGTGTATATGAGAGTCATCCGGATGTTACTGAAAGGGAGCTGCCGCTCAACGAGTACAAACCCGCCTATTCGCTTCCAAGCCCGCTTACCTCGACGCCAGTGAACACTCCAATGCGTTCATGTGAAAAGATACGCGATGATGAAAATTGCAGTCTCAAAGTCGTATATCCCACCTCCAGCAGCATGACTTGCTGTGGATCAAGCAACTACGCCTCTGCGATAGAAATTCGAAAACAAACACTATCGAGGTTCAGCTAATCAATGTTCACAAAGGATCCATACGTGGCAGATGCTCTTTCTGATGAAACCTTCCACCGTACTATAGGGACGTGCTGATAAGTCGCCAGTGCGCACACTGTTTGCTCCTTGACCCCAGAATCCAATTTTAGTAACCCTGGCAGGGTGAAGCTCGATTATGTGATTAGCACTTCCAATTTTGCAAGCTACTGCTGTGCTTTTGTTTAAAGTCAATGCTGCTTTTCTTAAAGGAGCTCCGAATTGTGGCTAGCTTCAAACTCAGTTAGGATCTGAGCAATTGAGTCAATTGTCGGATGGTCGAAAAGCATTGTCGGTGACATCTCGATTCCGAGTTCGGTAGACAGGTTCTATGCCAGGTCTGTCGCGACAATCGAGTCCAAACCGGCGGACATCAGTGGCACATTCGAGCTGACCGATGTACTCAGTGTTCAAGCTACTATGGATCTTGTAATTATGTTGCCATCACAACACGGTTTCTGTCGTGCACTCCCATCACCACGGGCGGACGTGATAAAAACCCGCTCTGCACACCGGCTTGCTTACGCCGCAAGAGGCTGGGGAAATTGCACTATTTTGATCTCAAGTACCAGATTTGGAGCTACTAGCATTAAATGATAGATACTCTCAGACCATGAGAATCTTCCAGGACGAAGGCTATGAAAGGCGCAGCTACATGCAAAATGTGCTTAACATACCAATATATATATGTACATTGAGCGCCGGTGATATTCCAATGCGTTTCAACGTTTTTCGACGTAACGAGTTTGTGTTCTGGGGCGAGTTTGAGCCGCGCCTTTTATATTGCTCACGCTTGGTAAGATCAGTAGAAAGCGAAAGCGGTTTCATGCCTACGCTCTTTTTCAAAGCCCTGCTGATCGCATCAGAAACAGGTCAACAGTGCGCACGAAGTTGGGACCGCATCACCATCTCGCTTAGCAGACCGCGTGACTCTGCGTTTCAGCGGGGTCAACTGGTCACTGCTCACGATAAAACGAACGTGCCAAATACGTGATGGATCATTTTGTAGAAGCTATTGGCTGAGGGAATATTGAACAAGTAACTTAACAATGTGAAATTGTTCCATTGAAGCCAAATGAACTGATACGACCCGAGGTGAGTTTGTGGTCGCCAACGTTCATCTGCACAACCTACTATACGGGCAGTTCGAACTGCGAGGAAACAATTGCCATCAGGTGCCAATTTAGCCTGCGCTAATATTGATGGCCTTTTGCAAAAGCCAGTCAATCATCAAACAACACTGACCGATTTAGCTGCGCATTCGCTGACACGCCGGACACGTCCAGAGAGATGAGCGCGAGTGACGCCAAGCCAGCAGCAGCTGCGGATGCCTCCAAATGACCCATGTTTGACTTCAGCGATGTACTCTGTAATATCCTCGAGCTCGCGCACAAGACCCCAATTGCAGCACCCACCTGCAAAAACCGTGAATCATAGAATATTGTCCCGCAGGAGTGCACCTCGATTGGATCCCCTAGCGCTGTGCCCGTGCCATGTGCCTCGAGTACTTAAGAAAGCACACAAATACCTTGCACGGCTTGGATCAGTCAGCGTTGGGATGATCCGTTTGGCGCTGTCAGGCTTGCACGCGGTCCATCTTGCTAGACCGCAGTACCAGCAAGTCCCTTCTGCGAGCTCGATGATGAAACTATGAAAGTTCCACAACCCTCACCACGGCAATATCCATCCCCACGATGATCAAACGTATGACATCATCCAAACAAAGACAGCATTCCAGCTTGTGCCGTCACAAAGTTAGATTGATCCGTCAGAACATTGACCCCAGCTACGATAGCAACCACGATCTAGCTTGACACCTCCAATATTGCAATGTGGAGCGCCACAAGTGTTGATGAACAGGCTGTATCAAGCGACACGCACGCACCTGTCAAGCCACAAACGAACGAAAGTCAACCTGCCGCCACGGAGCAAACGCAACCCGTCCCTGAGAAAACATTGCTCTCTCACAGGTGAGAGCCTGGCTAACTTTAGATCCCAACGAAGACGCCAGAAGGCGTTTGATGCAAATGGTCAAGCACTCGACTCCCTAATTCTAGGACGAGAATCTACTATGGGTCCATCACTCGAAGTTCCACCGCATGGACTTGCAAGGCTGGACCGTCAGCACAGAAGCCATCACATGTGAAGGCACCATAATTGGCTGCTTCGACGTGTCCCACGATGTCCCAGCGCGCATGAGGTATGTTAGACGCAGCCACGAGACCCCCTGAACAGATCATATGCAACCCAGTCTTGACACTGATCCGCCCCGGTAGAGAAAAGAGGTTAGATTGAATATGTACCAGGTTCTGTTTCACCCGGGACTCTCCCTTGCGATGCACAGTCTTTCCTCAACATGGAGATCCATTGACAAAGGAGATTAACGACTTTAATGTTGGATGATCAAATGCGATGGTAGCAGGCAGTTCGAGGTGCCATTCTATTTTAAGCTGGGTTATCAACTCTGTTGTCATGAGCGAATCCAGACCAGCACTTATCAATGGAATGTCGCCCGAGATCTGCGTGCCTATTAATGAAAGTACGAGTGAGCGAGCTTATGAATACCCTCCGCGACTCTATTAACAGGAGTCGTTGCGGCGACTCTATTGAGAGGAGTCGTTTCGATGTGCCTGATGCGTTAAAACTCCATAGTATCACGTGAAGTGGTCAAAGATAATTCCAGAGCAGTCTGCAATGAGCAGTCTATATAGCGAGGCTATCGATTGGAATGCGATTTGTGAATTCGCCGCTTTACGTGTGTGATTGCTGAACGATCCAAACTAATTGTGTGCGATTGTTCCACTAAAGCCAAATGAACTGATACGACCCGAGGTGAGTTTGTGGTCGCCAACGTTCATCTGCACAACCTACTATACGGGCAGTTCGAACTGCGAGGAAACAATTGCCATCAGGTGCCAATTTAGCCTGCGCTAATATTGATGGCCTTTTGCAAAAGCCAGTCAATCATCAAACAACACTGACCGATTTAGCTGCGCATTCGCTGACACGCCGGACACGTCCAGAGAGATGAGCGCGAGTGACGCCAAGCCAGCAGCAGCTGCGGATGCCTCCAAATGACCCATGTTTGACTTCAGCGATGTACTCTGTAATATCCTCGAGCTCGCGCACAAGACCCCAATTGCAGCACCCACCTGCAAAAACCGTGAATCATAGAATATTGTCCCGCAGGAGTGCACCTCGATTGGATCCCCTAGCGCTGTGCCCGTGCCATGTGCCTCGAGTACTTAAGAAAGCACACAAATACCTTGCACGGCTTGGATCAGTCAGCGTTGGGATGATCCGTTTGGCGCTGTCAGGCTTGCACGCGGTCCATCTTGCTGGATGCTAGAATCCACAACAGAAAGTTGGGAGTATTCTTTGCTCATCAAAAGCGTTCCCACCCCTTCTCCACGACAGAAACCATCGGCTCGAATATCAAAGGTCTGACATCACCCTCACAAGGAGAGCATCCCTCCCGCAGCGAAGGCAATCGACACGACAGAAGTCAACATTGAGCTGCCAGATATTGCAGCACGCGATGCTGAATCCACAGCGAGGGCAAGCTCGGCTATGTTAAAAGCCACCAAAAATGCCGAACATGCAGTATCAATGGAGAGACTAGGTCCAACAAGGCCGAGAACATACGACAGTCATCCACAAGCAACTGCGAGAGACGACGAGGTGCCGGTATAGACGGAGGCCTCTGATGGACGTCCATTCTGACCTAGGGTACTTGGAAAACCGCCGTTTGCGCCTAAGAAAAATCCAATTTGCTAATCCACAAGAGCTAAACGACAGTGGCAAAAATTAGCCACAAACGATGCATAACTCACTTCAAGAATCAGGTTCATTTGAGGATTCATTTCAGCTGATTCCAATTTTGATATAGAAAATGCCGAAGCGTCTGTGGTTGGTAAGTTGCTGATATACGCCCCGTATCTTGCTGCAGGATGGCTTTTCTTGCTCGCGAATTAATGCCAGCGAAGGATCGGCAGTCTCGCTTTTGTGTGCAAAGCTGCTAGACATGTGTAACTTAAGCACGCTTTAGAGGATGGCATCGGCAGTATGACGCAAAAATTGCTCATTACGAAGAGGGACTGTGCTTTTGATTCCTTCTATTAAACTGCCGACCGAGAATCGGGATAAGAGCCAATGGAAACATGGGTTGCTGTGCATGGCAATGTGTTGACCCCAACAACATCTAGGTAGGAGACGATAGTTTTAATCGTGGGGTGGTCAAAGAGGAGTGTCGGTGGCATGTTGACGCTCAGGCGCTACCCTAGCACCCGTGAGAATTCTGTTGCATTTAGAGAATCAAATCCAACTTACATGAGAGGAACTTCCAATAACACTGACGTCATCTGAAGTTCCATCACGACTAATTAGATTACCTCTGTCGTGTTATTGCGTTTCACAGACTGTTTTGGTCTGCAAAGTTTCTGAGTTGATTCCACACGCGCCGTAGCCTCCTAGGTTACCTCAAGAATGCTGGCGATTGCACGAGCGGTGGGATGATCAAAGAGAAGGGTCGTGGGGGCAGTGGTACTGAAATGCGAGTTGAAATTACCACTGAATTCTGCCGCCGTGAGTGAATCGAATCCAACGGCCATCAATGGTGCATCTACATCCACCATTGTCGCAGCCTCAAGGGAGATCATGCGCACGAGCTTGCTAAAAGTCTGATTAGTGTATTCAGTCAGTGACAAATTCGTCTATTCCGCTTACATCTCGGGGGTGAATTCTAAATTCCTCTACGATAGAGAAGCTCCAGTAACCTTCTTGATCCGGATCGCTCCTAGTCGTGGGACCGGGAGATCAAGACTGGGAAGACCTGGAGAAACGGACAAAATGCGAGTCAGCCCAGCTCCAGAATCACCCGATGCTAGTGCTAACTTCTAGAGCGATGGAGATGATCTGATGTTCTTTTTATAGGATCATGCATGAGTCGCGTTGCGCAAATGATGAGGTAGTTCATTAAATATAGCTATTACGATGTAAAAAGCTCTCAAGAATCGGACCCTGTATCCAGGGCTAACGAACCCACCTAAAAATCAATGCGCGCCAAGGAATTGGAATTGGAAAGATGCAGACCGAGCCCCATTGAAAGGATCGTCCATTTGCATGCACAACGAACAGCAGGACATTGGGCAGTAACTGGTAAAGAACCTAAAGGGGCCTAGCAGTGTTCTTGTATGCTGCGGGGAACTTGAGACCGGCTTTGAAAGCTGTCTTGCATAGCGGAGCATCGAAATCTTGATCCCGAACGGTTCCGGGCAACACATACGCGCTCGTCTTTTCTTGCATCATATTGCATCTTCGAGGCACGTGAGATCCTTGAGATCAAAACATCTCAAGCGAGCAAGTGGAAACATAGGGAGTGCACACAAGTCAGGAACTCTGTGCATAGAGACAGCTCTGGCTTGAGGCAGAACGCCTGCACCCAATTAATTGTCCTACAGCTTGGCCAGCGCTCCAACAGATGAAGAGAAATCAGTGACACGGAACATTGCAGATGTCGGGTGTTTTGATACTACTGAACCTTAACGCGAGGGGCTAATAACATGTTCGCCAGCTACGTGAATAGACTTGAGATTAGGAATTTGACTGTATATCTCAAAGGCTCCCAATGGCGATGCATTTCATAGCACTAGCTGACTCTCACGAGAGAGCACACAAGGTCGCATGATAGCTACATTCTAGAGGGAACCGGCTTAACAACCTTCCTCCAGAAAGATGAACACAAGTGCAAACTCTTGGTAACCCACACCAGGGAAAAGGAATTTATCACCGATTACATGATCGCTGAGCGTGTCATATGTAACACGTGACATGGTCTTCCTTGGAGTACCTCAAGTAAAAAGTCCAGGGCGCTCTTCGTCAAAAAATAAATGCATCGGTCTTTTTCTTGCCATGAATGATGTTGAGGTTCATATGAACGATTAAGCATAGCCGCAAAGGCGAAGTTCATGTTACAGACTCGAATCATGTTACAGATGATTTCTGGTAAAATTTTGGCTTAGTGCAAACAGGCCGTGCGTAATGGTTCCGCTCGCACCAAAAGAGCTGACTCAGGCTTGCACACCCGGTTTATTGGAAGTTAGTCACTGCAACAAAATCACATCTTGCACAGGCATTGAGAAGTCAGATGCCCTCAACAGGGACCCCAGGTGCGGATTGGAAATCAGCAGCTAGGAATTGGGCACGATGATAGCCATATGCAGAGGTCCAAAAAGCAGTGACATGGCTCCTCCACCCGACGCTGCAGGCTCTAGGTGACCCATGTTTGCCTTCAGAGATGAGCTTTATATACCAGCCATACCAACATTGGACAGGCTGTTGATAATGGCCCCAACTTCAATTGGATCTCCCAGGGCAGTGCCTGTGCCGTGTGCCTCTAACATGCTCGTTAGCCCCGTCACCTCGTTTGATGCTTGGACAGAACTGATCAATCACCTCTGTGCTTGGCCATTGGGCGCAGTGAGACTTGCGCTGGGACCGTCACACTGCACAGCTGTTGCAAGAATTGAGGGATCAGGAGCGTCTCGAGACTTTGTGGCAAGAAACATTGCTATACAGCTCTCGCCGCGAGCATATCCGTCTCCTGAAATATCAAATGTGTGGCACCTGCCGGTAGGCGAAAGCATGCCATTTTGGGCGAACCCTTAACTCCAGGCGGGACCAAGCAAACCCACACCGAGTGCTAGAGCATCCTTGCAGTGACCATTTCCAGTCTCAGCTCGTGCGAGATGGATGCCGACGAGTTAGGTGGAGCATGCGGTATCCAATGTAACGCAGGCGCCATTGAGGCCGAAGGTATACGATATCAATCCAGACGAAGCGTTGGCATGAGTAGGCGGGTACTCCGAATTTGAGCTAACTACACCTTCCACTGGTTGTGTGAGCATCCCCACATACACGGCCACGTCAGTGCCGGTTGGTGTTTTAAAATCAAGTCCTAGACAAGCACCAGAGCACTACAGCAAAAGCAAATTCTGGGGGTCTTGATTGCGCATGGATTGAATTGACATCTGAAATGAGTGGCCATTGTCAATTAAAACCTCACCAAGCACGAAGGATCCATAATCTGCGGAACTGATACTCGGCGGATTCTGTGCATACCAACGAATGAGAGGCACATGGGTTGGGGTCGCCAACTTCGCCAGCTGAAGGGTGCAAAGACTGTTGATGGCATGTATTGCGGCCGGCATCTGGAACGACTGGCTTGTGCACAACAAAGTTGGTAGCCTGCACTGCAACTGATCAGTATACTCAAAGTTCTCGCCTCTAGGGGGATGCACTGGGCATTCCTCATTGGATAGGAACTCAGCAACAGCGCTTAAGGTCGGATGATCGAATATCAACGTGGATGGATACTCAGTGCAGTGTAGCTCCGAGACAGCTTACACAAACTGGGTCCCGTTTAATGAATCTAGACCCGCAGCCATGAGAGGTTCATTCCTTCCGATGGTGGTACCAAGGAGCTGCACAATAGTAGCTGCGAGGCTATCAATAAGCTCGTTCACTTTTGGGACTTCTGGCCTCTACAAGAATTCTGCAACAGCGCATAGGGTCGGATGCTCGAATATCAACGTGGATGAAAAGTCAGTGCAGTATAACTCAGAGAGGGCTTACACAAAATGGGTACCAGTCAATGAATCCATACCTGCAGCCATAAGAGGTTCATCCCGTCCAACGGTTGTACCAAGGAGCTGCACAACAGATGCTGTGAGGCTATCAATTATAGTGTGAGTGGCCGTGGCTATGGCGCTTGCCACTCGCTTGGAGTTTTTTGGAACTATTTGCTGGGTTATCCGTCTGGCCCAGCGTTCAAGTTTGGTTACCACGGTGTGAACACCCAAGCTTGCGACGTTGCCAATTGCCAGCGAATCATCAAGCCACTCACTGGCAATTTAGCCGCAAAGTCCCATGCAGGAATTCACGGGCTGTACCCCATCTAGATTGCAAAAGCGTGATTCACACAGGCTAGTTAGATATCTCCATTCTCACGAACTTTGCGCTTCAAACTATTCTGGCAGGAAGCGCTGGTGAAAGTTTAAGGCACGATGAATCATTCACTCCCGAGCTGCGGAGGTGAGCGTGCTGCTTGCGTCCAGGGTGCAAAACATTTCTCAAGAAAACCGAGAGACAGGTGTATCGATGATATCACACCTAGGCCCATCATCAAATATAATACCATCGACGTACAAGAGCACCGAAAATGCAATGGCCTCTACATAACTCGATCCAAATGGTGTTTGGAACCCCCCAGTGTCATCCAAAATTGCCTCAGCTTAAAATACAAGATTCTACCGAACCAAACTGTTTGAATACATCATTTTGCTGCCAACCAACTGCCTTACTCCTTCATTTTTCCAGTATCCAGTGCACTTGATGATCACGTCACAAAGAATCGTGACCTGTCCCGACGTGATGACGTCACGACTCCTCACATTGGAGACTTCGCCAAGACTAGTAGCCACAAGACCGTAGTGGTGAGCCAAAAACCACAAGTCAGAAACTGAGACTGAATGCCCATCTGGGGAAATTCGACCTTCTTGCCAGCATTCTGGTTTGCTGACCTAGCAGAGGTCAAACGCACGACCCCAAGCCATGAAAATAAGTTGCGAACCTCTCTTGGCATGGGAAAATCAATGATTGTACGGTCTCGCGAAGTTGAGATAGTCCACGATTAGTGGACTCACTGTACCACGTCGTCGCTAAATGAGCGACACCCGCTCTGCTCCTCGCTCGAGCGCAGTGCGTGTGTTTTCAGTGGCAAAAGCGCCTGCGCCAACTATCAGAATCAGGAGGGAAGTAAATGGAATCGATCAAGTCTGATCACCAACCCCATAATACGTGCTCCCTTTAAATTAGTTCCCACCTGGAAAACTCATCTGACGGAGTGCCCCAAGGCGTCGATTAACTCCGACAAAAACTTTTCTACTTTCAATAGCCGCTTTATTGTGATCGTTCTGGTAACAAAGTAAGTGCCTGGCTGCACGAGAGGAACGAACCCCAATCACGGTGGTTTTGAAGCTGATTCACTGCGTTAGGTAAATTGTGGATATAAATTGTAGGTCGTTCATAATCTGAAAAGTTAGTGGATGGTCGAAATTGATCACAACTCCTCTCTCAGCGACGCGGTACGCCGCCTCAGTAGTATTCACTTTTGACTGCGCGTTTGCTTGCAGATGCCACACGCCACCAACTGCCTTCCCCTTCTCAAGAACGGTGACCGGGTGCCCATCACAGACAGTCCTGCGCGCTAATAAGAGCCCAGATAAGCCAGCTCCTACAATAGCGACGGGAGATTTTCGTGTGATGTGCACACAAGTTTCAGTATAATCTATTGTTGCCGCTGCTGCAATCATGCCACACAATTCTTGAACACTACCATTGCAACAGGGCAGAGTTGTATGGAGTCATCAGGTCTTGTAAGCGCACATGGAATGAAGGAAGCTTGGGTTTGACATCGTAAGTAGCGCTGACAATTCCGTCACAGTACGAGCACCTTGATCGCCAACACCAACAAGTACGTTGATCGCATCCTTGAATAAAGCTAAGCCTACCTCATGATTGATTCAAGCGGGGCTCTAGAAGGAAGATGCGACGAGAATTTCGGCATTTAGGAAGCAAGATTGTAGCTCTGTGACCAAACCTTTGGATTCAGCTGAATCTGATATGATGTAGATTCTCAAGGAAGATCATTTCTCTTTATAGGCACCCATCATGCTGCACAGTCACTTACTCGCGGGCAGGAAGTTACTTAGTGTACACGTTATTTCAGGGCACCCGCAGGTGAGCTCCGCTTAGCCCCAGGTTTAAAAAATCCTGCCCGGGAAGGTAGACGCCTGTCGAAACAGGCGACGACTTTCGGATTCATATCCATGTACCTTCATTTTGTACTTCATATAGAATAATTTATTAGCTCCGTACCGTTGCTATGACGCCAGTCAACCACTATCCAGCAGGCAACGGATGAATTTACGACACATAATGAGCGACCAATATCCATACTAGGATTAAATACTCTCCTGATACTTATCTCCCTTTTAATCTTTGTATATTACAACAAAGCTGCGTCGACCGCAACAAAGCACATCAACAATGCTCTGCAATGTGAATTGTGATTATAATCATGTTGTCCTAGAGTTTGATGTAAAGAACATTGTTACATCAATGATTATGCTGTTCGTAAATCAGTATTGGCTGATGTTACAAATATCGGATTCGGATATGGGCCGGAAAATACTGCTGCAAATATTAAAAGTACAACAGAGCACCTTTGGCCATCTCCGCCGCCACCCGGACCTACACTGGGCCCCCTTCCAGATAGAGCATAAGGAGCGAGTGTCGAATAGGCTGCAATAATAAGATAGCAGCTGATTTTCTCTGTCGCTCTGTACGAATTTTCCCCTGCCGCGGCGCCCCAATCGTCGTCGTATAGACTGTCAAGCACCACCCGGTCCGCACGCAGGCCCTGGTGTCGTCGGCGTCACTGGCGGAGCAAATCCACAGGCCTAATCTAGAGCGCATTAGAAGCAGCCCAAGAGCCAGCCCGTGCCGCAGCTCGCGCCGTCGTCGCTGCCCCCCGGCCCGACCATGGCGGGCCCGCTGCTCGTCTGGGAGTCCGGCGCGACGTTGTCCGTGCACGGCTTGACGGTGGCGCATCCCGGCATTCCGGCTCCCGTCCCATCCAGTGTCGGTTGGCGGCGGCGACTTCAGGTCGTGCGCGAGCACGCTGGTTCGGCGCCCCCGGGCATCTCTGGGTTCGGACCCTCGAGGCCGCCGACTTCCGCGTTCGAGGGGGGCGCACGACCGTGCCGCGCTCCATGGAGGCGCGCTGGCTCGAGACTCTCCGCGGCGCCCGAATCGCTCGCCGCCGCGCGGCGGGCTTTCAGGGCAACCGCGTGCACGTCCGAGACCCACGGCGCCAGCCTCTGCGGCGTGGGCTACGCCGAGCCCAAGCAGACCTTCCCCGGCGACATCATCTGCCGTACCTACGCCTTCGCCGAAGAGCTGGCGCGCGCTGTCCAGTCCCGCGCGCCTTGCGCGGGCCTCGACTTTAAACACCGACGCATGTGCCATCTACGGACGCACTCGTCGGTGGGGGAGAGCCGGGGGAGACGCCGTCCCCCCCCGGGCCGACGGCAGGCCTTTTAGACCACGCCCTGGCCCCGCTTGACCTCCCCCTCCGCTCAGTCGAATCAACTGTGCTTAAACAGTTCATGAGTCAACTGATAGACCATTGATCGATTGGACTTTCTGAGTAGTCATGAACAGTGATTATGGTGGGCGCCAAAACACCCCCTGGCGACCCTCCCGCTGGACCCCAGCGCATCGGGGGTCCGTCCAACATGTCCTCTGGAGGACCAAAGCTGAAAAGCAGCCATCCATGCCGAAACTCGGCTGTGGACGGGCTGCCAAGCACGACGCGCGCCGCGGCTCAAACCTGGTCAACGACCCGAGAAACGCGCATTGGGGACACCCGCGACCGCTTCGAGACCCTCGCAGACACCCCTCGAGTGCCTCAGCCGCGTAGATCGTCCTCTGGGCCCGGCGCTGACCGCCACGACCACTCGGAGCGCTCGACGCGCACCGCCGGGGCTGCCACGCGCGTGCGCGTAATCTCGGACATGAGCAATCCGCGGCACGCGGGGAATCTCATCGCGACACTATCCCTTCGCGATTCCCCGAGCGCCGCGGATCGATCGATGCCCCAGGACCGACATATCGCCCCTCGACGCGTCGAAATGGCGCGGATCCAGAGGCCCCGTTCGCCCCGAAATCGTGCTCGCCTCTGGAGATCGAGAGCGGCGCGTCGAAGATCGCCCGCCGGCGCGGCGCGGGCTCGAAGGCCGCCGGGCGCCCGGCGGACCGAGCCGCCGAACGCGGCCGTCAAAGTCGGGCGCTGCCCATCGGATCGGCTTCCCAGTGCACTGGAGCCCCTAGAGAACTTTAGGCCTGTGATCCCACCGTGCTATTGGGTGGTCGGGGAGCAGTCGGTGCGCGCGCGCGCGGTGCGGTCGGTACGTGCGACCGATTCGCGGCGGCGGGGCATTGAGCTGCACCAGCTACGAATCGCTCGCGAGGTTTGCGAGCGCAATCCCCTTCGCATCACATGCGCACTTTGGATGAAGACGACCCTCGCATCGCGGCTGCTCTTACATGTGCCCATTCACTTGCGGCGCAGCCTCACCGCCAGTCATTGTTGCAGTACCCAGAGGTGTAACAAGAATACAGCTTTTCCAATGCGTATGAGAGCATGGTTGTTGCGAGTGAGTACCTGTCTTTGTATTCTGTAGCAGAACTGTCGGAGACACCATCTTCTCAGCCAAAGACAACAGAGCTAAACATCTGACAATGTAGACCTCTTGAGAGGTATTCACATATTTGTGACAGTAAAGCCTATGTCCAACATGGATTCATATTGAGCGTCCGTTTGCCGTGCGGTATTAGCCGGCTCGAGTCTTTAAGGTAGCTATAGACTCGTATGTTCGTCACATCAGCACTCCGTAGTTTCTCTAGCGCTCTCCAGCGAAGCGCATAAGCTTTCTTGGCATATGGAAACTATTTGGGTGCGCAAGTTGATCTCGATCGAACATGTTGGGGGCTCTCTGTCTTGGAATAAGAGGTCATTGATCCGCAACAGCTCATGGTCTTGGAAGTTTGCTGCACCTCAGACGCGCGTCTTTCCTCTGTTAAACCGAACGTTGGTATCTATTTGGCCGTTGCCGGCCGCTTAATCTCAACCAGCTCTCATGGAATCGCATCTAACCAGCAGACGTGTACAAACCCGCATCTTGTAGCTGCATCCTCAACAGCGGCGGCAGCTGGGAGAATCTCCTATATTCTGGGTCTCATGGGACCGTGCCTCGCTGTGGACACGGCTTGCTCTGCGTCCCTCGTCGCATTACACTTGGCAAATGTTGCGGTCTGGAAGCGTGAATGCCTTATGGCGTGCGTCTGTGGGTCGAATTGGCTAGAAGAAAATGTGTAAGTGGTTTTGGGTTCTGCCGGCATACTTTCGATGCTTGGAAGGTGCCACACATTTGACAAACGGAGTGATGGATATTGTCGTGGTGAAGGGTGCATTGCATTTGTTTGGGGTGACTTGCAGCGCTGTTGAACAGACATGTACGATCTTCGATCTCGAGTGTAGTAAGACGGCCCTCGCGTGGCTTTTACCGCACCAAGTGGCTTATCCTAGTGATGACTTCTTCAGTGGCTCGGACCCAGGCTTGAAGAAATCTCGACCTTGGAGGCGCACGGCACAGGTACCTCGCTTGGAGACCCTATAGAAGTGAGCCATAATACTGAAAACTATTTCGTAGATAGATGCTGATTAGGTTGGTGCTGCTGTGATGAGCCTATGCCAGTCGGCATCACACAGCACTATGGTGCAATGCGCCTCTTCCAAAGCAAACATGGGACACTTGGAAGCTGGTGCAGGAGTCACTGGACTCGCCTCGTTGATGTTGATGCAACATTGCTTCAATTGAGTCTCTCCAAACGCTCAATTATGATTGTCCAGTCTCTAGAAACTTCCCCAAGGAAACTTATGGCAACTAGGTTAAATCCTCATGTGCGGTCTGCATTATCTCATTTTCATCTGGCAATAGAAAATGGGAGCTTATTTTCCCGTCAAGGTCGGGTAAGTTCATTTGGCTTCAGTGGCACGATTGCGCATGCGGTTTTGGCGTTCACATCATGAAGAGAGCACGCACCTGTTATGAAACAAATTTTGTCTCAATACCGTAGCAAATCGATTACGGTAACTGATAGCTTACTTGATGCCACAAAATGCGTACCAAGGGCGAGACTTCGCACACTTCTCAAATGATTCGGGGATCAAATTTCAAATCCAGTTCCAATTCATCAGAGGCAGATGAGTGCGTGACTAGTTTGAAGTGTGAATCCTTCCAATGTAATCAACTTCAAGTTCAAATAAATGTGAGAAAACAAGTCAGAACAAACACTTAGGGGGAGAACACGCTGGCCTTTGTATTACACACGTAGCCTACAAAGAAATTCCGCGTAGACTCAACTGAGGGCAAGGCAATACCCATCACTCGACCGGTAACGAGACAGAACCAATATTTCTATAACGCTCCGCACATTTTCATATCAAGAGTAGTTCACTCTGAAAATAGACACCGAACTCAGCTGCCACCAGTTAGCTACAGTCATGGCCCCTAACACCGCTACACTTGCATAAAACGACGAGTTTGGTGTGTGCGTTATAATTTTCGACACAAGAGATATACACCCATCCATACTTCTGATTGCACAAAGCGACTTCAACCATAAACATGACAGAGCGCGGCCATCAGCATGTCACGTCACGGCCTTTGATGCAAACGAAGATGTTTGCGCACGTGTATTCAGTGCACGTTCCTTGGGAAAGTTGTAGCTGTGTGTCAAATTTCCTGATGCGTTTTGAGTTGAACTTCCCATCGGTAGAGTGCACTCACTTTCTGCTTTGAAGAGTCTACTTTGAAGCCTTGATGCTTGCATGGAAATATTTCAAGTTATTGACGAGCGATGCATCACGCGGCACGCAAGGCAACTGAATTCAAAAAGGAACGCACTAATCATGAAAACTCGCCGCGACTAAAACACCATGATAAATTCGATAGCACTATCAGTTCTGGGCACCGTTGTGGGTATCAACGTGCCGCTGATGTCTGCCGGCTTGGATTCCATCGCTGTGATCGAGCTCACACAGAGTCTTTCTACTGCATTCGAATTGGCCCTATCACCAACACTACTCTTCGACTATCCTACCCTCAATTCACTCCTAGCTGTCTTATCAAGTGAACTGACCTCCATGGATGGGACTGGATCTGCCTCCAGCTCCACACGTCAATTGCGCAAGAGGTAACGCTCCAGCGTCATGTGGGCTGCGTCCAAAAAGTGAACGAGTACGATGATTGGGGCCCTGAGCATATAGCTGGCACAGTCCCTGAGCCGCTGCCCTGCATTGCGATCGCTTCTGGCGCGCGCACACACGACCAACTCGCATGTCCCTGTAGCACGCTGGGTGAGCTGACTAGAGCACAAATCAGCAGCTTACGGATCTTTCCTGGGCTCCCAGCAGACAGGCCTGGACTCATCTACCACATTTGGAATTTCAGCCATAGAGGCGCGAGCGATAGATCCATAGCAGAAGCTCGTGCTTCTTGCTGGCTATTGTGCTTTACACGGCTGATTCTCCTCGAAGCTCACTTCTGCCCCGGTGCGCGATATTTTGACATCGAGTGATGTGGGAGTGTTCGTGGGCATCGAAGTAAGTGGGCTTCGCAGCGGCAGTGAAGCGATGATGAGTGTCTTTTCTACGAGCGGAGGTGCGCTTTCAATCGCATCAGGGCGGCTATCATACACACTGGGTCTGGTGGGACCATGCTACTCACTTGATACGGCCTGTTCATCCGCCCTTGCTGCGTTGCATATTTGCTCCTCGGCTGTGAACGGCGGCGAAGAGTGTCAAGACGGAGTTGGGATTGGAACCAAGATTCTCAGTGAGGCTGTGAATATTGCAACGTCCGTTGCTGGAATGACCTCGTCGCGTGGACGATGCCACACGTTTGATCAGCGTGCCAATGGGTACTGTCGTGGTGAGGGATGTGGAGCTTTCGTTCTGTGTTCGTCCGCTGAAGATGAGAGTGAAGCCACGCTCTGAGGTTCTGCGGTCTAGCAGGATGGTTCCAGCGCGAGTTTGACTGCGCCCAACGGGGCATCCCAAAGGTGACTTTTGGAAGCGGTCTGGGATGGCGGCGCCTTGCGGCGGGCATTGGAAGCTCATGGCACCGGCACCGCGCTTGGAGATCCGATCGAGGTGCTTGTAGGAGTGATCTGACACTGTCTCACGCCGCATCTTAGGTGGGTGCCGCTGTTAGAGCCCTGTGCTAGCCGCTCGACACCACCACTCAGCTGGTGTAGTGCACTTCTCTGAAATCAAATCTGGGGCATCTTGAGGCGTCTGCAGCTGCCGCGGGTCTGGCTAGCCTTATTCTCGTGCCTCTCTACATGTCCCTGATCTCCCCAAACGCGTAATTGAGCTCGTGAGTTTCTGACTTTCTTTCGTATCATGCAACCAGGGCCGTTGGATTCATTTGGCATAGGCTAAACGTGCACTTGCTATCAATTCTATCACCTTTGTTTCAAATGCCGATCGAGACCTCAGTTCGAGTCATGCATAGTCACCAGTGATCATGTGCTGGCAGGCTGAGCTCATTTGGCTTCACTGGGACCATCGCGCATGTGATTCTATTCGTCTAGGATTATATGGTATCGTACAATTCACAACGCCAAAGATCCTCACACTTTCGTGACGATATACCTCACGCGCGAAAATGTTCCACGAGCGTCGAAACCCTGTGAAGAATTTGGAAAACGCCGCTCACCTCACGCTCACTGCTGCTTCGTGCATGTCTCCTGGCATCAAAATGGGCGCAGCGCTCGTTGGTCAATTGAAATTTATAGTAAAATGCAATTTAGCTAATCCGAGCGGCCTCTTGGAAGTGTTCGACGAGTTAGCAAGGTCTGCGCAACTCGCCCTCTCTATCGATGATTTCCAGATGCACCCGACCCATCTTCCAGCCCGGGTTTACCACTCGCTCTGATTTTGAATGGAGAAGCAATGGGTTTATTCTGTAGATTGATACGACCACCGGCTTGTTTCCAGCTGGAGAGATAAGGACACATTGATGGTTGACATGTCACAATCACCCTGCAGTTTGAGCCCACACTATCATCGTGTCCGAAGGTGGGCTGCCTCTTTTTTTTTTACACACAAAGCTGCAGAAATTTTGGTGCCCTCAACATAGGCTCCCAAGTACTGCGTCAAATACCAACACTGACTTAAAATTGGAGGTGCGATCCTGACAGCCTACAATCTGTTCCTTTGTGAGCTGATGGCTTGGTACATCAATAGAAATGGAAACACCTCTGATGTCTGCTGGTACAGATTCCGTCTCGATAATGGAACTTGCATAGAGCCTCAGCGCGCTATTTGGATCAAAGATACCCGCGATTATGCTTTTCGACCACCCGACGCTCAAGTCTATCTCAACAGACGCGGGTGCTGGACTTGATATGATGATAGTCTCGCCGTCCTGTGAAAAATCTCAGCTCATGTCGCAATCGCGGCATCCATACATTAGTCGGCAGGTCGAGATCTCATGCTGGTGCTTACAGCTGGCAGGATACATAAGCTCCAACTTTGGACTGCGTTTGTTATCGATTCCCAAGCATACTGCAAACTCAGACATACCTGCTGCCCGTTGGATTGCAAGAAAAGCAAGAGCCTCTGCATCTTATGGATCTTTCACGAGTTCCCAGCAGTCAAGTCACGACCTTTTTGCACACGGAATCACGTTTGAAGAGGCAAACACGATGGATCCGTAGCATAAATTTGTACTAGATGTCGGCTATTGCACATCATATCAAGCACACCCAACTGAAAGTAGGGCTCAAAATATTCGGAACATTCTAATGTATTCAAATGTGGGGGTCTTTGTTGGCGCTGAAGTCGGTGGGTTGCAGGGTCTAGGATCTGATGTCAACGAGTCGGGATTGAGCGGTCGAGCTCCATCAAGTACTGCAGGTTGACTTTCTTATGTGCTGGGTATCGTTGGCCCGTGCTATTCTATTGATACTGCGTGTGCGTCATTCTTGGCAGCGTTGCACTTGTGCACGATAGTTATTCACGAAAACGTTTCCCAAGTTAGCATGGCAATTGCAACAAAAGTCCTAAGCGAGGTAACAAATACGCTGATATCTAGTTGCGGGATGAGTTCTTAGCGTGGATGATGTCATTCTTTTGATCTTCGCGCAGATGGGTATTGCCGTGGTGAAGGCTGTGCTGCATTCTGGATATCGTCCAGTCCAGGTGCAAGTGTCGCTCTTCTCAGCACTGGGGTTTAGCACAATGGCCCTGCCGCTAGCCTGACTGCGCCCAATGGGGCATCCCAAAGGTGACTTTTGGAAGCGGTCTGGGATGGCGGCGCCTTGCGGCGGGCATTGGAAGCTCATGGCACCGGCACCGCGCTTGGAGATCCGATCGAGGTGCTTGTAGGAGTGATCTGACACTGTCTCACGCCGCATCTTAGGTGGGTGCCGCTGTTAGAGCCCTGTGCTAGCCGCTCGACACCACCACTCAGCTGGTGTAGTGCACTTCTCTGAAATCAAATCTGGGGCATCTTGAGGCGTCTGCAGCTGCCGCGGGTCTGGCTAGCCTTATTCTCGTGCCTCTCTACATGTCCCTGATCTCCCCAAACGCGTAATTGAGCTCGTGAGTTTCTGACTTTCTTTCGTATCATGCAACCAGGGCCGTTGGATTCATTTGGCATAGGCTAAACGTGCACTTGCTATCAATTCTATCACCTTTGTTTCAAATGCCGATCGAGACCTCAGTTCGAGTCATGCATAGTCACCAGTGATCATGTGCTGGCAGGCTGAGCTCATTTGGCTTCACTGGGACCATCGCGCATGGAGCTTTGGATGTTGGGATGCATGACTGTCAGTACGACGGCGCACGCCAGTTAACATCTCTTTATCGTGCCTCATTCTTTTACAGGGAACACGATTAGGCAGCGGGCGTCACTCATAGGTAGGTCACGCGTCATCCATAAGTTTCTGTTTGAGGCGCCAATGATGTTCGATTTTTAGCTATGGGCCTTTCATCTAATCAGATGCTTTCCATGGTGCAAGAATTTTCTGCCACGTTGTCTTGTAACGTCTCTGTGTTGCAGATTTTTGAGCATCCCACCTTGCGTGCACTAGCTGCTCACTTACGCCAGACAGGTTGCACAGAACGAGAAGATAAAATGCGAGCTACACTTTGAGGCCTCGTCTAGAAATACAGGACGCAGTGGTAGGTTCCAATGAGGGAACTCTTTCACTTAGAGCACGGCATCTCAAATGTTTCCTGGAATCAATCTCAGCTCCTGACAGTCATGTTGCTAGACGGAGAGAGCGCAGCGTACAACGTGCCCATTGCAACCTGGCTTGATGGTCGGCTCGAAATTAAGGCACTGAGTTTGGCAATGAATAAACTAGTTCAGTGACACTCAATTTTGAGAACTACATATAGTGTTGACGATAATGGGAAGTTTCAATGTACCGTCAGGAGATTCGAATTCAAGATGCGCCACGCCTCTGCAACCAGTGAAGATGAAGCTATGAAGATCGGAGCTGCAGATGTAAGTAAGCGATTTGCGATTTTCAATGGTGATGTGATTCGTTGCCTCCTAGTCTCCACTAGGGGTCGTCATCTGCTTGTGCTCACAATTCATCACGTAGCATGCGATGGCGTATCTGCTGCTCTGATTATGATGGAGCTGAAATAGCTGTACTTGGAATCAGCGCCGTCACATTCAGGCGTCGTACTCTAGTATGCTGCCTTCGCACGATGGCAGCAAACTGTCGTGCAGTCTGGTCTCCATGCGCAAGAGAAATATTGGACAAACCACCTGCGCGGAGGCGCGCTTCCTGTACTGGAACTACCAACCGACTAGATTCGCCCGGCCATAGAACGTTCTTCGAATGGCGGCCTTGTCTGATTTCAACTCCAATCTTCAACTGTACGATCCTTGAAGAATTGATGCGGGGATCTCTCCTCGGTCATTCTTGGACTTTGGGCAATGCTGCTCTGCCGACTCAGCGGCAAAGAAGAAGTCGTTTTGGGCGTTCCACATCACGGGCGTGATGGTATGCAAGGTCGCTGTTCTGATACAATCGGCTATTTTGTGAACATGCTTCCTGTTCGCATCCAAAGTTCTGCCTTGGAATCATGTGCCACATTCATGTTGAATGTAACCTAAACCTTGGATTTGGCGGTATCAAATGCACAACTGCCTTTCTAAGTTATTGTGGATACTCTCCTGCCACTGCTTGTGCGTGATCCATCGCGTGGAGCAGTGTATTAGACCATGTTTCTGTGGCAATACAATCACCCAGCCACTGAAGGGACTTGGGGTTGACATCTTTCTGTCTCCCCAGCGGATCTTGGTCAGTCTTCTAGCGGGGGTGCTCCTCGCACGTCCAAGTGCGATATCAGCTTAGTAGCTGCTCCTAATTTGTGCGGAGGAGTTGACGCAGAGATCGAGTATAATCGAGATTTATTTATGGTGAGTACAATCGAGAGATATGTCAGGTGTTTCCAGACCCTGGTTGACGCCTTTGCCAGGGCGTCGGACGATGTGCTAGTGTGCAATCTCGACATTGTGGCACAGGATGATCGACGTATTTTGTTGTCGTCTGATCGGGCAAGGGAAGTGGATCCAATCTATGCTAATTTGCGAGTGCACGACTTGGTAGCCCAATCGATGGCGGCCAAACCTCAGGGACACGCAATAGAGTGGAAGTAGAGTTTACTTACATATGCAGAGCTGTGAGACTATTCGGGAAGGATTGTTGGGTGGCTTCATCAACATGGCGCTACTGATCTAGAAACCACAGTGGCGCTCTAATTGAATAAATCCCTTGGCATGGCGGCTGTAATTTTAGGTGTCCTGAAGGCTGGCTGTACCTACCTGCCTCTAGATGGCGCCTGGCCAATCGAGTGATGAAAGTTTATGATCGAGGATGCAGCGTGCGTGTATCTTGTCACTTGGGGCTAGTGTTTAGAGCCAAAACTTGCGTTTTAGGGTGCGATTCTCTGCTTGGATTGAGACCGAATGCCTGCACCAAACACCGGGATAGTGGACGCAAGGACGATGCCTCATCACCTTGTTTACATCATTTACACCTCTGGCAGCACTGGGAAGCCAAAAGGTGTTCTTGTGGAGCATATTGGTGTTGTGAATCTGCTGTTGACCAGTCGGAAGCTGTTTTTGGGAGTGGCGTTTCATGAGGAGCCTATTCGCATGGGCGTGTCATTCAATTATGTGTTTGACGCATTTCAACAGTCGTTCTTTACTTCACTTGGGGTGCTTGGTGGCACATGTGTGTTTTTGGAAAACGGGCTTTCTCTCGTTGAGCTCGCGGGTGATCTGCGTCTAAGTAGCCTCTATGACGTGCCATCAGTCATGGCCCTTGTCAGCATCCCCACCAGAACAGTGTTAGTCTAGGTTATTGGCGAGGCGCTTTCTTCAATCTTGGTTGATTGACTGCCAGCCGGTGCCACATTATGGAATTGGTACGGTCCAACAGAAGTCTCAGTTGCTTCTACACTTAGGGCTGGGGTTGTATCGTCAAGGCTTAGTTCCATAGGAGAACCTCTCGAAAACGTGCTCTGCTATGTTGTCGATCCCGAAATCAATTCGCTGTTGCCGATTGGCATTTATGGCGAGCTTTGGATTGGAGGTGTACAAGTTGCGCGTGGCTACTTGAATCGACCTGAGCTGACGGCCGAACGCTTCGTTCCCAGTCCCTGGTCCACAATCGAGCTTGGTCGTGGGATTGTCTACCGGTCTGGAGATTCGGTGCGTTGGTGCATCGATGGGGAGCTCGAATTCGCTGGTCGCATAGATTTCTAAGTGAAGCTTCGCGGCTTCCGAGTAGAGCTTGGAGAAATAGAGTCCAATTTGCGCTCGCAGCCGGAGGTGACAGAAGCGATAGTTTTATTGCGGACGGATGTGGGATCAGAAGCTGCTCTTGTGGCCTACCTCAGTCCCGAAGAATCCGCATCTGATATGGTCTGGGAGAGAATACGCCAGGGTGTGGGTGCAGTTCTTCCGAAATACATGGTGCCTCAAATTACAGTCGGGATTAATGAATGGCCTCGCACCAGCAGTGGGAAGATCGACTGAAGGAAGCTACCAAAGCCTGTGACTGAGTGGACTAGCCAAGCAGCCAGCGACAGAGACGAGAGCGTAGTTGCCAGAGTTCGAGACACGGTGCAAAAAGTAATTGAGAAAGATATTCATCCGTCAGCGCCTCTCATGCTTTCTGGATGTACATCGCTCTAGGCCATTCGTCTTGCAAGAGAGGTATCTTTATCACTGTCAACAAACTTGTCGGTAACATTAATCTTTGATTATCCGACCATTGAAGCAATTGCAGAATTCTTAACTAAGGGGCATAAAACAATCGTTGGAAATGTGTGAGCTACCCTTCACATTCCAGCAGAAACATCGTGCGCCGTGGCTCGGATGCAAATGGAAGGGCATTGACACTTGACCTCACTTCTAACCGAAAAGGTTATTCTATCTTGAATGACACTATCTGAAATGGCACCTCCATAAAATATGTGTGCTGCTTCCGAATTCGGCTACTCATTATATGGTGCATTTTTGCTGCATCCCATTGAGTGTCTTATTCCCGCCAAGGTATCAACTTCCGAGTTTCTATCCCTAGGACTCTGTCACATATCCCTATTACAGATGGCAACCTCATTGGTCGAGCCGCATTGCACAACATGTGCTGCAGACACTGGTGTTTACGTGGGGATGTCAAGCGTAGTCGCTGGGCGTCAATTGGCATCTAATAAAGAGTCGGGTGTGATCAACGGTAGCTCAGTGAACGCAGCAGCATTGTCTGCGGCGTCAGGACGTATCTCATACCACAATGCTCTCACCGGCCCCTGTTTAGTCACTGATACAGCATGCTCGTCGACACTTGTTGCCACCGACCTGGCGACTGCCTGGGTTCGCACTTCTCAAAATCACGCACTAGTCGGAGGCTCAAACTGATTGTTAGAAATGGTGACAGTGGCACTTACCCTTGCTGGGATGTTGTCAAATTAAGGTTGATGCCACACATTTGATGCCCGTGCAGATGGTTACTCGTGAGGTGAAGGTGGCTATTGCTTCCTCCTTGGGAATGGTAACTTGCTGACAGAAATCGGACATTGTCTTATGATCAACGCTAGTGCAATACGCCAGGACGGCGCGAGCGCGAGTCTTACTGTCCCGAGCCAGTGTTGCTTGTCCTCTCCCTTGAAATGGAACAAAGAATCCCCTAGGCACCAAACGGATCATCGCAGCGCCGCCTCTTGGCAGCTGTGTGCGAATACGCAAGGAGCTCTGTTCTAGAAGCTCATGGAACAGGAACGGCGCTCGGGGACCCGATTGAAGTGCCCATGCTGAATAAATTACATAAAAATTGTGTTTGATTCAGGTCGGTGCAGCGATCGGAGTTCTGTGCTAGCCGCTCGACACCACCACTCAGCTGGTGTAGTGCACTTCTCTGAAATCAAATCTGGGGCATCTTGAGGCGTCTGCAGCCGCCGCGGGTCTGGCTAGCCTTATTCTCGTGCCTCTCTGCATGTCCCTGATCTCCCCAAACGCGTAATTGAGCTCGTGAGATCTGACTTTCTTTCGTATCATGCAACCAGGGCCGTTGGATTCATTTGGCATAGGCTAAACCTGCACTTGCTATCAATTCTATCACCTTTGTTTCAAATGCCGATCGAGACCTCAGTTCGAGTCATGCATAGTCACCAGTGATCATGTGCTGGTAGGCTGAGCTCATTTGGCTTCACTGGGACCATCGCTCATGCGGCATTTACTTCTAGATCCCTGAAGAAAACTTGAATCAACACAAGGCCCACCTGTTTGTTCTTTCCATGACCGATTGCCAGGGAAGATCATAGATGTGTTACTCGCAGACCAACTAGTCGTCAGCGATGTCAAGTGTAAAAGACTCAAATCTTCCGAACATGACCAAGGATATCGTCCACACTTGCGTTGGTTAGCTCTGCACGGACGATAGACTGGAAAGGCTACAGTTCAAGCTTGTTGATCTTTGGTATGTTATCCCCAAACTCGGTCACTGAGTTGGATAAAATTTTGTCATGAAGCAACCAAATATTGAGGTACAGCTAATTTGGAACACCTGCCACATCGAATGACTTGAGAAGATCTGTTGTAAAGAAATAGCGCGTCATGCGATATGCTTTCCACCCCCTTACGTTTGTGCACATCCTCCCGTATGGTCCCATTTTAGGTTGAGACCGCATTATACTTGTTCTGTAGCCTTGCCTTTAACAGGTCGATAATTTGACATCAAGACGAAGGTGGTCTTGATGTCGACAAGCATATATATGAAGTCTTGCCGCTACACTTGTCAACATAGGCATTCCTGGATGGCTCTATAAAGCTGTGTGTGGCTATCTGGCCAACGCTCTCCAAGCAAGCGCCTTCTTCAGCCTCGTAAGATCCTAAGAATGTGCTGTAAGGATATCTGCCATGTCCAGTGCAGTTGAAAGCGGCAAGATTAGCGTACTCCCAATTCACTAGCCATCGGAGCTCGCAGCTTCTCAACGACATTCCACCACAAAAAACATCAGAATGAATGTACGATGAGTGTCCGGGTCTAAGACTGACACAATAGATGCGGTGCACTCGACAGCGCTATCAGTTCTGGGCACCGTTGTGGATATCAACGTGCCGCTGATGTCTGCCGGCTTGGATTCCATCGCTGTGATCGAGCTCACACAGAGTCTTTCTACTGCATTCGAATTGGCCCTATCACCAACACTACTCTTCGACTATCCTACCCTCAATTCACTCCTAGCTGTCTTATCAAGTGAACTGACCTCCATGGATGGGACTGGATCTGCCTCCAGCTCCACACGTCAATTGCGCAAGAGGTAACGCTCCAGCGTCATGTGGGCTGCGTCCAAAAAGTGAACGAGTACGATGATTGGGGCCCTGAGCATATAGCTGGCACAGTCCCTGAGCCGCTGCCCTGCATTGCGATCGCTTCTGGCGCGCGCACACACGACCAACTCGCATGTCCCTGTAGCACGCTGGGTGAGCTGACTAGAGCACAAATCAGCAGCTTACGGATCTTTCCTGGGCTCCCAGCAGACAGGCCTGGACTCATCTACCACATTTGGAATTTCAGCCATAGAGGCGCGAGCGATAGATCCATAGCAGAAGCTCGTGCTTCTTGTTGGCTATTGTGCTTTACACGGATGATTCTCCTCGAAGCTCGCTTCTGCCCCGGTGCGCGATATTTTGACATCGAGTGATGTGGGAGTGTTCGTGGGTATCGAAGTAAGTGGGCTTCGCGGCGGCAGTGAAGCGATGATGAGTGTCTTTTCTACGAGCGGAGGTGCGCTTTCAATCGCATCAGGGCGGCTATCATACACACTGGGTCTGGTGGGACCATGCTACTCACTTGATACGGCCTGTTCATCCGCCCTTGCTGCGTTGCATATTTGCTCCTCGGCTGTGAACGGCGGCGAAGAGTGTCAAGACGGAGTTGGGATTGGAACCAAGATTCTCAGTGAGGCTGTGAATATTGCAACGTCCGTTGCTGGAATGACCTCGTCGCGTGGACGATGCCACACGTTTGATCAGCGTGCCAATGGGTACTGTCGTGGTGAGGGATGTGGAGCTTTCGTTCTGTGTTCGTCCGCTGAAGATGAGAGTGAAGCCACGCTCTGAGGTTCTGCGGTCTAGCAGGATGGTTCCAGCGCGAGTTTGACTGCGCCCAACGGGGCATCCCAAGGGTGACTTTTGGAAGCGGTCTGGGATGGCGATGCCTCGCGGCGGGCATTGGAAGCTCATGGCACCGGGACCGCGCTTGGAGATCCGATTGAAGTCGAGGATGGCGATCGAAGTCAGCTGGGTAGCCTATAGAAACTATTTCGTCGCAGGTTGGTGCTGCTTGCAGGTGTCTGTGTGGATCTACCCTGCGTAATGGGCGCATGCCTTCGGTCCAATGCACGTCTCTGAAAGCAAACATGGGCCACCTAGAGGCATCTGCCGCTGCTGCGGGTCTGGCATCCCTCACTCTTGCCCCTCTGGAGATCTCTCTCATCGCAGCCAATGTGCAACTCATCCGGTAGGTTTTATCGACAGTCGCGTGTCTCGTTATGGACCGGACCTACAGGATGAACGCCCATGTATCTTCAATAACATCGTCACAATTCCAGACTCCTGTTGAGCTCGTGGTAAGACCCACGGAAGATGGCCAACTGGCTTCCCCATGTCGACTGAGCGCGTTTGGTTTCAGTGGAACCATCGGGCACGGCGCGTTTCTTGGATCTTTGTGATCTACATCCTTGAGCAAGCCCGGGCTGGCGTCTAACCTTCGCACTTCATTGTTTGCAATCCTGTCGTCCAATCAAGAGTTGTGACTTTAATCAATCCACACTGAAAGGCCTATAAAAAGCTAAAACGAATCTTTTCATCATTTTTTGAGAATAAAAGACGTCTGCATATATTCCCTTATAGTCGCATTTTCCTGCATGGTCAACCCGCATCAATTTTACAATGTAATATTTCATCATGCTTAGTTCCATTTGATAAACCTTCATTTAACTCATTCGGAGGTTTCTTGGACTATCTTGGCCAACGGTAACCCTTAATTTGCTGTTGCTAGTGGCATCGCTCGTGGCAATATATTGAATTCACTACCTTTGAAAGCTCCTTCGTTGAGTCCATGCGTGGATTCCTTTAAGGCGCGTCGAGCTTGCTTGATTAACACTTCGGCCATGCTGCTTTTCATCAATTCACGCGAGGCTATAGCTACACGGCACTTCTCGACTGTTAGTGACACACCCCGGCATGCTTGCTTCACAGTTCTGTTCGAGCTAAGTTCAGCTTTGGGCGGAGGGTAAATCTGTTGAATTAATATGGAAACTCTCGCAATTGACGTGATTTCGTGCAGATCTGAACGTCCAGATGTTCGTGTGTGTCATGCGAAGCAAATTGATCGTTCTTCCCGATTTTTAGTTCTCCACACATAATCGTGGAAGTAGGAAATCCTGGCATATGGGATTCATTTGCACTGATCCCATACTTTTCTGGCGCCTTCCCAGCGTTGTACTGGGGGGATCGTTCACAATCGCGTTGGTATTGGGGGTTTGTCCTATTACGCCCCAAATTTATGCGTGTGAGCTAAGTAGTTAGAAACATTCCATGCAAGCCCTGGTTGATACACAATGGGGCGTGGGCAAGAAAACATAACATTTCTTTGTGATTCCGATGATACTATCTCCATGGCGATGTCAAGCTTATTTTGATTGCTCTTCTAATGTGAATCTACTTTCATTGAAATTGGTTGATTAGAGGTTGGCACGGAAAGTGCAGTGGATCGTGGAAAGTCAACGAAGTCCTTTCTGATGTGCTTTTTTGAAGAAGATCAACATTATTGTGTGGAAGGAATTGACACAGTCAATGCTTGTTATGGCGGCACAAATGCCTTTTTTGGCACCATAAATTGGGTTCAGGGTCAAGCGTGGAATGGTTGATTTGGCGTGGTAACTTGCTCAGATCCAGCCATCCACCCCAATCCTGGCCTTGTTTCTGGCATTGGAGCCTCGTCTATATCCCTCATCGTGACCGCGCACTCTCGTCTTAACCTATAGCAAGAAAGAGTAACGTTCATGAGGCATTCGTGGGATTTCTATAGACCCGTAGGATGGCGGTCAAATGATGCGGTAGTCAATATTGTTGTTGCCACAGCCCAGTATGAGCAGGCAATGATGTGGTGCTAGAATCGATTCAGTTAGATGAAAGACTTGATCGATCTTTTTTCTGAATTTGATCTTGTCGCCTACCACAACAATGCTCCATACCACAGCAAATGAAACTTGCACATGATGTGCACCGCAATATACGGAAAGCTCTCGAGAGCTGAAAACCTTGCTCTTTTTAGCGCACATGTAGAAACAGGCGTCAGGATAAGTGCACAGAATGCAACAACATACACCTGCCCGTTATATGCGTCATTGCTTTCGCTCGTTCTGAGTGTCAGCAGAGACTAGGACGACGAACGCGCCCTGTGCATGTCATATGGTTCTGGATGTGCGTCAAGCATGTTTGGACTGAATTTCGCAGGATCTCCCCTGCACTCGTCTGATGTAATCATTGGCCTTCTCGCCCGAATTCCATCGTCTGTGGAGGAGACTCTGGTTTCAATCAACACATTTGAGATGACGCACGGCTGCTTCGGTTTTGAACCCTCGAGGCATAGTTGTTAGAATCAGGCTTACTATCTACAGGATGTAAGTAGAACAGGCGTTCGTAAATATATTCTTCATCTGTTTGAGGCGACCATCAATATACACTCACATGAGTCGTTGCGCATCATCAGAATAACCGTCCTTTAAGACATAATAGACGAATGACTGGTTTAAGACATGATTCCAGCCCTTAAATTTGATAGATTAGTTCTCCTAAAATCCGGAGTGCAGATCAAAGCTAGTGCCATGTGAAGTGACACCTTGGAAATGATCCTCGTTCGCGAGCTTATGCGCAGGAACTACCCTATCATCTTCTCGAGTATGGGCATGATGCAAGGACCAAAAACTTTATTCCTGGCTGTCGCGGATCTCACTATCGCCACACGCGATGCGACCATCAGTATGCATTCAATAAGTAAAATCGCGGCTCTGTTTTTGTACGGGTGAGTAAAGTCCCATGTTATTCGATGATTGGTCTTGCTTTCAGAGAATATTTGCGCACAAGTTGGATGTCAAAGCGGCTTGATTGATGTGGCAATCTACCCTGATGAAGAGCTCAAGATCATTGAATCGCTGGAGATATTGTAAACACTTTATAGGATCAAGTAAATTTCATATCGTCGTGCAAGCAGACGTGTACTGTCGCCTTCTGCCGGTTAAGTTTCAGTCGGCGCTTAGGTCCGGACGTCCGATTTTTGACAGCAAGTTGCAGGTGTTGGAGAAGTTTTCTTGCATGCCAGCGAATGGGAGCTTTCAATCAAATGGCTTTAGGAACTGATATAAATCTGCGACCATGTTAACAGGATGCATACTCTTGTGATATGAGTGGGTCAGGGAAATAGCTTCAACAAGAATAAACCGCACACGAAGAGAGCGAAACAGCGTCAATGTATTCATCAATTTCCAGGGCAGATCTGAAATCAGCTTTTGCAACTTGCTATGCCTCTCCTCGGCATTTTCCATGGGCCTCAGATACGTCCTTCTTAATTGATCCTCACGACCGACTGGAAATGTTGCGACAGCAAGGCAACTTTCCATGCTGATCCAGTTTGGGGGGGGGTTGTGGTTGGCCAAACACTGCTCGAGGGCACCACGCTGGAAAGCCCAGATATACTGTAAGTATGCATGATATCAGCGATCCATTCACGCAGTTTTGATCTGGACTGTCATGCATTCACATTGGCTCGCACGGTTACCTTCGCTCCTCGCAATGGGGCTTGAAATACGACGCAACTTTCATGAAATGGCCTAAAATAATGAGGTATCTGCAACTGACTTGCAAGTTCGGTGTGCGCACCCTACGATACGTTTGCAGAAGCGCGGGGGGGAGCACAGCTTTCAATATTCCGTGGTCTGAAATGGCAGCTGCCTAATTTCCTGCGTTATGATTTGATAGTAGTCCTGGGAAAGGTCAGTCTCGGTACTCGCTGTACAACGGACAGGTTCACTACTGATGACCACAACTCTGAATCTCAGCCTGAGAGTGGGGGTGACTCTCTATATGAGTCGACTTCGAATCTCAACTATCTTGTTTTAAGCTAACAATCCTTTTGTGACCTTAAGGCTATAGCATTGTAGATGAATTCTTGTGGATGTGCCTTCATTAACAGCGCAAAAAGAAGTCTCAACTTACCAGTCCCCTTTCAACATGTTGATTCCATGTGTCTATTGCAAGTGTGATTGAATGCAAATGTGCTTTACCTTATAGACCAAGGAACAAGAATGAGCTTGGCTTGTGTGGGCGCTGTTCTCAGCCGCCTACGGCCAGATAAGCACCCTCATGTGATATGCTGTGCGTTGGCTACACACAGTTTCGATCTTGCTTGTGCTCTGTGCCAATGTAAGCTGCCTACATTGCTTGTCCTTCCGTTGCTCCTCCATGATGTCAAGATTCGAGACAGGGTTGTACTGTCAGCAACAGACATGGTGTTGTTAGTTGACAGCGACTGCTCAGATAATTCGCCTTGATCAAATCTGTTTATAGTTGTGTCACAAATTAGTTTGATGAATTATTTCTGCAGCGACGAAGCTGCGAGCTTGAGCACCAAGCAGCTGCTGACTTCCACGTCAATGTCTCAGGTTGTCGTGTTGTCTGGCGTCAGACCCGTGGAAATTGGAATTGAGCGCTGATGTCGCGTAGTGAGGCTACGAGTGTCAACTGAACTTGTTTCTTCGATCGAACTCAATGACTTTGTACATTTCAACGCTCAGAGTGGTGTGCTAATGCTCGACTTAGCTACTTGCATCAGAATACTTGTCGTGATGGTGTCATCTTGAGAGAGTAAATTAATCATTCTTCAGGGCGAAGGTGCTCATTTTTGCACTGGTGGAAATATTTTGCAGCTGAACCAGAGCTAAAGAAGCTTGCCATCATGCGCACTTCTGGCTTCCCTGAGGGACCAAGCGCGCATCATTACAGATGTTCGCTGACTCCATGTACTCAAATACGGGGCTCTTCATGGAAAACTCATCGGGGGGGGGGTCGCCTTTGCGCTTGCCACGGACTGGCGTGCTTGTACGGGAAAGACAACCTTCAACTATGGTAATTTGCGACATGGATTGAATCCCCTGTTCATGTTCAGTCGCGCCATGCCATTGCTGGTGGGATACGCTGCTAGTTTTCAGATATATCTCGAGGACATCGTGCTGTCCAGTAGGCAGGCACTTGTTTGCGGGCTCGCACACAAGATCGTGGCAAGCATGCATGAGGTAAAACATGCAGCGGCAGGACATGCGCGAATTAGCGGATACGTCAAATTTTGACCGCCCCCAATGGCTCTTGAATGCTCGCAGGATACAGCTCATGCCTCAAAGGAAATTATTCTTTTTATGAATTCGCTCAGCTGCAGGGAGGTTGCTGCTGCTGCTTCGGGGCAAACATCGCAAGTCCGTTACCCCGCATCGTCCACGACTGTTTTGAACACACAGAACACATGCTGACGCATGGTTTCTTGTATCTCAGAGATACTGGGTACTGAGATAGCGACCAATGCTTCAGTGATGGCCGCAGGAATTGATTCTTTGGGCGCCACAGAGATCAGCTGAATTTTGAGTGACGAATTTGGCACAGAGTTGTCTACAACTTTGCTGTTTGACCATCCATCTATCGCGGAAGTATTCTCTCTCGTTTGCCGCGAAGTATGAAGCGAGAAATAGTCCACGGGATTTGTGTATGATGCCCCCTCATTGTTCACAGTAGTAGATGAGTGTGTGCAGGAAATACTTGGGACTTGAATAACTGCAGAGGTCCCATTAATGATTGCCGGGATTGATTCACTGGGTGCCACATAGATTTCGCAAATGCTGAATGATGCATTAAGCACAAAAATTACTGCGACTCTTCTTTTTGATCATCCATGTATCAGAGAAATTGTCTCTTCATTGCTTCGCTCTCATTCAAACAAGAGCCTATTTTTGAGGACTAGTACTTTGCCACGCTACCAAGCTGATACATTCATGATCAGAATGGCCAGGAGTCAGTGACCGGACTCCGCGAATCGCAAATGCGCTCAAGATCAGTGACTAATGAAATCTATTCGGGTCGCGGCGTACGGTGACTGAATCAAGTGGATGGATGTGAAATGACCATCTTTACCCAAGGGAGCGGATAGTCTCATTGCGATCATGTCGTCATTCCTCCAAGATGATGATAGAGATCATGTTGCCAAGGGAATGTTAATAATGCAGGTCAAGACCGCGGGGGTTTCTTTTGCAGATAATCTTCAACTACATGGTCAGTATTAGCTTGAGGTGTAGCTACCTATCACTCCAGGTGCAGAAGCTGCAGGGATTGCTTCGCGCACTGCAGCCAAAGTCACAAAATTTGTTGTTTGGGATGCCATTGGAACCATCCTCCCATGGACCACTGGCACATGCGCCCAGGAACTCTTACTGCACGAGCGGCAATGTGTCAAGTTGCCAAACGGTGCTGGCTAACAAGATTTCATTGATTTTGTGGCTCTCGGTGCAAATTACTAAACTGCATACTTCGCCTTGGCGCACCGGACCACGGTTAGAGAATGGTGTAACAGTACCCTCCTTGTACTGGGCGCAGCTGGGGGGGTCGGCACTGCCGCGCTTGATATTGGGAACTCGCTAGGTGCTGAAGTACTTGCTTGTGCCAGCACGGGGGAAAAAAGACACAAGTGCTTGATCCACGGTGCGGTGGCCTTGATAGACTACACATGCCGAGGGTGGCACGAGCGTGTTAATCAACTCACGTTGCAACAAGGAGTCGGCTGCGTGTTTGATCCAGTTGGCGGCGAATTCTTTGGTGAGTGCCTTTGATGCATCGGAATAGGGGGTTCACTCCTCACAATAGGATATGCATCGGGCGGCATACCTTCAGTTTCCTTGGGGCGTCTACTTTGACGCAACATTGCAATCGTAGGCGTCTGGGCATACGCAGTTCATTATCCGATTGAAAACGAACATTCAGCAACCGAAGTTACGTGATTGTGGCGGACTGGGATTATAGTTCCAGAAGTGGACTCAGTCTTGCCAATGGACTAGTTCTGTGCAGGCCTGTAAAAAATCATGAATCGTAATGTGAAGGGTAAGGTTGTATTGATTATCGACTCACAAGAGTGGGCTGCACGGTCGCTCCCGAATGATCATCCTCCAATCCCTTTGAAAGCATGTACTAAGCATGGTAGCCCACAAACCTATAAACTAAACGCCTCCTTAAAAACAAAAATCGGGGCCACGGCAATGAAATCCGGGATCATCGAAGTGAGAGCGATAATTTTTTCACTACCTGCTGGGATATCACACAAGGACTGTATACATGAAGTTTAGTGTTGATGCGTATTGGTGCCTTGCAAGATACCGCTGTCTCGCTGGGCTGCTGACGGTGTACATGTTTCCGCTTGTTATGGAGCATTTTTGCTTGACACGCTCTGCTTAAGGTGCCAAAGCTTCGATACCATTTAGACACAATAAGTTGATCCACAGTTTATCTTGCTTCTAAAAGGAGCGTATTTAGCTACATGATATAACTCGATGATGCAACGTGATATCCAGGACGTCATTGGAGTCTTTGTTGGAATCCTAGGCCAGCCGGTAGAAAGGGCCGCAGCAGGTGATCAATCTCTGGCAGGAGCACCATAGATTTCACTTGCATCTGGTCAAGTATCATTTTTGCTGGGTCTTACGGGCCCCTGTCTTTCCCTCGACACGGCGTGCTCTTCCTAACTCGTGGCATTACACCTGGGGGCTGGTGCCTTGAGACATTTTGAGTGCACATGTGCAATGGTAAGTGGAGTCGGTGTACTCGGACCGGTATTTATGATGTGATTCTCCGCTTTTGGCATGCTTTCTATTTATGGGTGATGTCACACATTCGACAACAGAGCAGACGGATATTGTCGTGCAGAAGGCTGTGTTACTGCCGCACTCGCCGGGGGCATCAGCGATCATACCAGCTGCGGGATCGAAGCGATGCAAGTGCAGTGTGATGGATTCAGCGCTAGCATAGCCGCCCCGAATGGTTCTGCGCAGTGATGATTAATTTATGCAGTTGAACGACTTTCTGCATTACGATGTCACTGCAGGGCTGTTGAGGCACATGGCACCGGGACTGCACTTGGCGATCCAATTGAAGTCGGGGCAATAACTGGTGCAATTTGCGCAGAGGGGTTCGAAGTTCATTGTAGCTCTCTAAAAGGCAATATAGGTCATCCCGAGGCTTTAGCAGGCGGGGCAGGGTTGATTTCGCTCATCTCAATGCCACTCTCTGCAACCAACTCCTTCCCAAATGCCTCGATGTGAAGACTAAATCCTCATTTAATCATTGATATGACCCTTCATGTCCCGATTCAAGATGTTTCATCAATAGGACACCGTTCTTCAGGTTAATTAAGCTCATTTGGAGCTACTGGGACCATCGTTCATGGAATTTTCTCTTCTTCGAAAAATCCGGCTCAGAACGCCATACAAATTGGATCCAATTCCCTTTACCACGATTGTGGTCAAGGGAACCAGTTGGAGCTGAATATTTAGTCTGTGTGCGCCGGGAAGAGTAAACTGCAATTCACCATCAGTCTGAAGCTGAAAGTTTGAAATGTACATTTCCTGGAAATTACAAATCGTCACAATGGTCAACCAAGCGGCAATCGCGATGGATCCTATCTTTGAGCGCGAAAAGCAACATTTTGATAAATCCATGTAAAAGCAAATTTTGAATTACAGTAACTTCGTGGCAAGAATTTTTTAAGTGTCGGTTTAGCTTCCTGCGATATCACGATGTTGTCGCTCCAGCTTTCACAATTCAAGCCTGAAACACAGTGTTGGCTATGTTTTGCGCGCTGGTCAAACGCGAGAGCCAGACGCAATCGCATCAACGAAAATGGTATATCTTGCTCAAAAATGAATTCACCACTCTCGTCGTGGAATGTTCGACCGAGGGTGAATTTGTGTGATGAATCCCACAATTATCTGGCCAACGCTCTCCAAGCAAGCGCCTTCTTCAGCCTCGTAAGATCCTAAGAATGTGCTGTAAGGATATCTGCCATGTCCAGTGCAGTTGAAAGCGGCAAGATTAGCGTACTCCCAATTCACTAGCCATCGGAGCTCGCAGCTTCTCAACGACATTCCACCACAAAAAACATCAGAATGAATGTACGATGAGTGTCCGGGTCTAAGACTGACACAATAGATGCGGTGCACTCGACAGCGCTATCAGTTCTGGGCACCGTTGTGGATATCAACGTGCCGCTGATGTCTGCCGGCTTGGATTCCATCGCTGTGATCGAGCTCACACAGAGTCTTTCTACTGCATTCGAACTGGCCCTATCACCAACACTACTCTTCGACTATCCTACCCTCAATTCACTCCTAGCTGTCTTATCAAGTGAACTGACCTCCATGGATGGGACTGGATCTGCCTCCAGCTCCACACGTCAATTGCGCAAGAGGTAACGCTCCAGCGTCATGTGGGCTATATTTTGACATCGAGTGATGTGGGAGTGTTCGTGGGTATCGAAGTAAGTGGGCTTCGCGGCGGCAGTGAAGCGATGATGAGTGTCTTTTCTACGAGCGGAGGTGCGCTTTCAATCGCATCAGGGCGGCTATCATACACACTGGGTCTGGTGGGACCATGCTACTCACTTGATACGGCCTGTTCATCCGCCCTTGCTGCGTTGCATATTTGCTCCTCGGCTGTGAACGGCGGCGAAGAGTGTCAAGACGGAGTTGGGATTGGAACCAAGATTCTCAGTGAGGCTGTGAATATTGCAACGTCCGTTGCTGGAATGACCTCGTCGCGTGGACGATGCCACACGTTTGATCAGCGTGCGAATGGGTACTGTCGTGGTGAGGGATGTGGAGCTTTCGTTCTGTGTTCGTCCGCTGAAGATGAGAGTGAAGCCACGCTCTGAGGTTCTGCGGTCTAGCAGGATGGTTCCAGCGCGAGTTTGACTGCGCCCAACGGGGCATCCCAAGGGTGACTTTTGGAAGCGGTCTGGGATGGCGATGCCTCGCGGCGGGCATTGGAAGCTCATGGCACCGGGACCGCGCTTGGAGATCCGATTGAAGTCGAGGATGGCGATCGAAGTCAGCTGGGTAGCCTATAGAAACTATTTCGTCGCAGGTTGGTGCTGCTTGCAGGTGTCTGTGTGGATCTACCCTGCGTAATGGGCGCATGCCTTCGGTCCAATGCACGTCTCTGAAAGCAAACATGGGCCACCTAGAGGCATCTGCCGCTGCTGCGGGTCTGGCATCCCTCACTCTTGCCCCTCTGGAGATCTCTCTCATCGCAGCCAATGTGCAACTCATCCGGTAGGTTTTATCGACAGTCGCGTGTCTCGTTATGGACCGGACCTACAGGATGAACGCCCATGTATCTTCAATAACATCGTCACAATTCCAGACTCCTGTTGAGCTCGTGGTAAGACCCACGGAAGATGGCCAACTGGCTTCCCCATGTCGACTGAGCGCGTTTGGTTTCAGTGGAACCATCGGGCACGGCGCGTTTCTCGGATCTTTGCAACCCAAGTCAAGGACATTTCCAGTTACGTTTCATTCAAGTGACTATTCATCATTTTCAAGGCAATCTTCGTTTGCGAAGTATTTGATCACATGTCAACATACGCTCAAAGGGAGCTCAAGGACGTTATCACCCGAGCCCTGTCCGAAGGAAATCACCCAGAGGAGCTTTTCGTAGCGGCGTCTATAGACAGGCCAAAACTAGCGTACATTTGAGAAGAACAACTGGCTATAAGCGGAAAAGTTTAAGCATGTTATTCCACGTACTCAAATGCAGTTAATATTTTTGGTTTTGTTTGATTTTCATCTTGGGCTTGATCATGCCCATATTTACAACTCTTACGAAAGCACCCTCCTTCAATTGGTTCTCTCTTGATGCCGCGTCCATTTTACTTCAGGGCATACCGACATCTTATTTGAGACTCGCATCCCATGCAGTCTTCTAACAAATATCAGATTTTAGAGTGCATTGATGTAAAGAATGCGAGGCGCACGACTCATTTTCCTCCATGGCATGGACACTTATGCAGAATTGCAAGTTGGTCTCATGGATCGCTAGGGCTGGATCGTTGGGCTCTCTTCGGTGTTTGAATGGGTGACAGTGAGTGCGGTGAGTCAAGGTGCAGACTTATCCAGAAACTGAGGCCAATATTTTAGTTGACACCTTGGATATGAGCCGCACAAGTCGCGTTCATGGCGCCTGTTAGCGTAATTCTCTGTCGCAAGTTCGACCCAGGCGCTCATGTTTCACCGGATCCGCAGCTTGATGGATTCAGACTCTACCAATATTTGTGACTCAGAAGGTTGGACAGCTTCGTGTATGCACGTGAAGTGAAGCATCAGTGAACAGTCCCCTATCCACGGATTTGCCGGTTTTAGCGAAGGTGCCGCCGCTGCATCTATTCTTTGTGCTCATCATGTCTCCCAAGTTATGGATTTAGGACCGGCATACCATTCCTGAATGCTCATCAGCGTTGGTGCACTAACTTCACCTGCTCATCTCAAGCTATTCGAGAACAACTTTGATATCTCTTCGTTACATCTGGTTGGGAGTAGAGACACGGAAGATGTCTAGCACATGGTGGGGCAGACTGCCGCTCTGTTTGGATTAGGCTCTGGCATTCTCATCCACGGAGGTGGACACAAACTTCCGAAAGTAGATACGTAGGTACTACACGCGTGTCGCCGGCTGAAGTCGGCCGCAGCGGGGTGATGATGTATCATCGGTTAGCTAAAGCCACTCCACTGATATTGTGACTGCTTCCAAATTTGTCGTCTTCCAGACTCCTTCTAGTCGGAGTCACACTTGAAAAGTTTTCCGGAGCCCATTTCAACCAAATTAAGATGCATCAAATGACCAGTGCTGTATTGGTGGGATCAATGAACCTTGAACTTGGTACACGTGAGCTGAATTACGTCGAAAGATATTTAAGACGCAGTTTAATCGCTGGCATGCCAAGTTTTAGTGGTTTTGCCAAGATGTTAATATTGCAGTTGTCTGAATCGCCCTCCGGAACCTATTTTCTTGCCCTAGTTCCAAACCGACTCCCGACTGCCAACCGCACAAAGTATCAGCACTCCTATTCTTGTTGTCGTCGACCGCTATCTGTGTGTCTAGGACCCTAGTTTGATTGCGGATTGGTGCGTGTGTACAACGAAGTTAACACACTTGAGTAATCCCCCCCCCCCAATGAGTGCTCTTGCTTCGGATTACGCGGATGCACTTGAGTAGATAGCGGGATGCACATGAGCCCTCGATCGTATAAAAGCGACCGGCCTAAAAAATTCGCTGCCCCTCATGCGCCTGCAGCCAAGCTAGTACCTAGGCCCCGCGGGGGCTCGTCCGGAGGAGCCAGTAAGACAACTGATACTTTGGATTTCGACAGTATTTTTTATCAGCGATAAAAGATAAAAATCTCGGTCCAATTTTTCGTGCAAACCCAAACTTGTACGGTAGCAACCAACAAGTTCCTGTGAAGGGTTGGCTTTTGGTTGTATTGCAGTTGGATAGCAATTGCGGTGGAATGGAAACTATATGGTGTTTGCAGACGCTGGACTCATTTTCACGGAAGCGTTTGCGCTTTTACCTGCCATTGTGATTGTTTTCCTTGGGATTGCAACCACTGGTACTTGAAACTTAACGGCGCCTGTCATGACTGCATTGACAAGTGAAGATCTTTGCGTGCAATTTGCCCAGTCTGATTTGGCGGTTTACCGACCTGCGATTGCGATCTTGTGTTAAATATAATTATTCAGGACCTGACCCCCTGGTGCTATATTTTTAACATGAAAAGACGAAGTTCCTACAATGAAAATGAATTATACACAGGCAGGCAAATATGACCTTGCAGTGATTGCCTCTCACTCCCAAATAAGCATCTGAGTCGCCTCGCTAGAGCGCATTGATATGGCCATGTTTCGAGCTATCCAGTTCTCGTCTGCGGCAGTCAGAATTATCATATACGTAGTTGACAGCTTAAAAACATCGACATCTGAATGTGCTTTATCTAGTATGATTCCTAATGATGTCACCTTCACTGTCGAAATAGCCCTGACTCGGCATCATGCGACTCTCGACTGACTGAGTTTCCTCTGAAACCGGGCGACTGTTACAATTATTTCTAGGCTTGAGGTTCAATACTCCCGTCAGGATAGTCTGTTGGAAAAATCCGACTCACTAGAAGCATCGAAAATAAAACTCGTTGATGCTTTGAGGAAAGGAGATGGCACCTAGAGCAATATCCGGCAACTTGATGAGGTTGCGAGCGGGAACCCCACTCTTTTGATAGCTTTCTGAGCGTCGACGGGCTTAAGCCGCAAGTGGAGCAATATGTATATACTTCGAAGTACGGGGAGACACAAACCAGGGAGCTCTGTGACCACCCTACATTGGGAAAATCCCGACGTGGCACAGATTGTGATCAACGACCCTTGAACAATTAATGCCATGACATCGAACCTGTTGCAGAGCCTGGCGGCAGACATATCGATTTCAATTGCATCTATGTCAATTCGGGTTTTGTTACTTCGAGCTGTTGGACCACACTTTTGCACTGGAGGCCATTACCAAAAGGAGATTTCAACATACCCGCCTTGGTGGATCACGGGCGCAAATATGTATCAAGGCTGCAACTTGCTTGACTGATTACGGCGTCTACCCGTGGTGACAATCTCCTTGCTGCACGGTTGATCAATTGGTGGGGGAGTGTTACTTGGTCTTGCAGTTGATTACTGAGTTGCGACTTAGTCTGCAAGTTTCCGGCTTGGTCTGGCTCCATATGGGCTGAGCCCAGTTATGAGGGCAACAAAGGTACTGCCCACTGTCGTCGGCCATGAATTCGCAACTAGAATGTATGTGGAGGATGCTTCCATTGATGTGAAACTCGCCCTTGCGTCAGGTATGGTATAGAAGTCGCTGTCCAATATGCTCGTTGCAGAGCAGCATGTTCTGCATGATATCCACCTTAAGTTCTACACTCCGACTCAAAGGAGCAGTCTAGATCGCGCGTTCTCGGTTGCCGCGGCGGAAATCCTGCTAAATGCCGAGTCCGTTCAAAACATCGTCGAGGAGCCGCGACGTGTACAAATTGGTTTCATTACCTGCAGGAAAATTTCTGCATGTGCCTTAACTCCGATACGCAAAGAGGTCTCAGGCAGCACCGTTGAACATCTAGAGGGTCTTGTTGCTTCGGTTGTTGCATGCCTGCTTGGATTTGTCAATATTGCTCGTAGTGCCCCACTCATGGATGCTGGCATGGATTCGCTTGCGGTGGCGGAACTTGTCAATCGACTTGGGTATCAACTAAGCAGTGAGCTGCCAGCTACAACGGTCTTAGACTACCCAAGCATTACCTTGATGGCAGAGCACTTATCATTCAAGATGCGTCTGTGGAAGACTACGCATTGCTAAGCTCGTACGCATCTTGGTTTGTAAACAGACCAAGGTGAGTGAATATGCATCGTTACAATCTCACTCCGCTTGCCAGCTTTACTTCATAACGGTGTCGATTTGGTTGGGTGCCTGCATGGATGCTTGGTTCCAGTTACAACAATTCCCCAGGGTCGATGGGCATCAGATACAGGCAAGTTGAATTCTGCCTGGAAGGAGTACATCTAATATGCTGCACTCATAGATGATGCACAGACGTTTGACAACCACAGCTTTGGAATACGACCAGCAGAGGCAGCATCCATGGACCCATAACAGCACCTGATGCTTCAAGTCGGTTACCATGCACTGTAAGGGGGCTATGATCGCGGTGGACTAGCTGCCAATGACATTGGGGTTTTCCTTGGTATGATGAATTCTGACAATTTGCTAAGTGTTTCTCGAATTCCTGGTCCATACGACATGACTGGAAATGGTATCTCGGCAGCTGGAGCGCGCTTGTCATTTGTGTTTGCTATGCGCGGTCCATGTATCTCGATGGACACTGCCTGTTCATCAAGCCTAGTTGCCACTCATATAGCAGTATGATCGACTTAATTTTAGGAGTGCGCCAAGGCCCTTTCACAAGGTAGCAACATGATTCTAAGCCCAAGCGGAGCTTTTTTGATGTTTGCCATCGCTGGAATGCTTTCGAGGCAAGGTCGATGTCACACATTTGACCAGCGTGCGAATGGCTATTCGCGGGCAGAAGGCTACGTTGCCATGTTTAATTCAAGATATCGTACTCAGGATGAACCTGCTCAGGATGAACCTGGACTGGCTTATCTTGGATCTTGCTGCCTGCACAATGGACAAAGTGCGACGTTCACCGCCTTGAACGGATCGTCTCAAAGGCACTTGCTGCGTCGCGTTGGAGTAACGGCAATATGCTTTGTAGAAGCTCACGGAACTGGTACGTCTCTTGGCGATCCAGTGGAAATCAGCTCGCTGGCTAGTGTATTTGTGTTACACTTCATCTCGATCACATCTGTCAAGGGAAGTCTGGGCCACACAGAAAGCACTGCAGGCACTAGTGGCCTATTGAATCTCGGCTACATCCTGAGGTACCAGTCAGCGGTATGAAATCCCCAACTCCGGTAGCTGAACAATAGCATGCCAAATCTCATCTCCGGGAGAAATCTGCGCATGATGATAGAGTTGACCATGGCAACTTGTAGACTATCGGGTGGAGTGAGCTCCTTTGGAGCCACCGGCATCATCGCACACACACAACTCACCATTGTTTCATGAGACAACATACGTCTTAGCACAAATTGATCATAATGCCAACATGGTTCTGGATACCGCCGAGCAACTAGGTGGTAAAAATTGGATGTGTGACTTCATACTGGTACTGGAAATGGACACGACTCATGTTGTAGCGCAGCGGTACTCACAGGCCCTCTGTCGGCAATGGTCATAATGAGTTTATCTGACCACGTGTTAGGTGATAGCAACGTCTTCCCCGGTGTCGCCTTCATCGAACAGGCTTGCGCATGCAGTCAATCCGTGATAGATTCCAGGTACACTTTGAAAGATATTAAGTTCGTAAACCCCTTCATATTCTCTCAGTCTGCCTCCTCCCAATACGCCTTGTCATATACGAGACAAAACACCGGGGCTTTTATGATTGACAGCCATGGTTCCATGCAGGGTTTTAAGCCTACGCGTTCGAGCAATGTGCTCGGAAGCTTCCACCAATCTAGACTTGGGAGTCAAATAGACGGAACGGATTAATCTCTAGGCTCAAAGACACATATTTCAAGGGTGTCAAGGGTGTCTATCATGTTCATTGTAAATTAGTGACCCTCCACTTCGTCACGACACAACCCAAACGTCAAGTAAGAAGACTCTTTGAATGTAAAAATGAAGATGCCTGCATCGTGTGCCATCTGATCACTCATGAACGCTCCAGCCAAACTGACTGGACAAAGTAGGGCAAATACTTTCTCACGTTCAAGAAGTTTCATCTTTTTGAGATATAGCCGCCGCCGCCTGATGTGAATAGAACTATTCCTGGAGTCTTTATCTATCCAGATTAGATGATGACAGTATAGACCACGCGACTCTTCCCTGGCGAAGGCCAATCAGAATCCTGCCGCAAGAATTTTATTTTCAGTCTCGGTGTTAGATGTTTGAAAAACTCTGATCAGTATGCTACATCAGGACTTGCTGAGGTGACCTCGGCAGAAAAAAAATGCCCCACGCTCCCCAGGCATGGTAGCATCTCTTCCGTAACATGCATGTATGCAGAAGAAGACCGTGTAAAAACTATTACTGCTAAATTCAGGCTGAGAATGTTGAGATAAAGAAAATATTCTATATAATGTTGCAATCCCAATTTTGGAAATCCTTGGAACAGAAATCCCAGAAGATGCGCCATTGATGGGAGCTGGTCTGGATTCAATTGCTGTCACTGAGCTCTTTTAATCAATCAGTGAGTCGCTGAGTACCGAGATGCAGCCCCTGGTACTATTTGACCACCCGAGTATCAGAAGTCTCAGCTGATGCGTCTGGGACCTATGAATTCAATCACCTGGAAAGCACATGTGGAGAGAAAATATGAACGGCTGGACGCACAACAATTACTACGGACGTTTAGCAGTTGCCAGCAAAGCGTAGCGTATCCCGGCTCACAGCATTTCGGGTCTGTTACAGGGAGGCTGCGTGACAGGTTGAATTGTGCCCATTTCTCGCTGGAATTCTGATATGATCAATATGTCAAGGTTTGGTACTAGCGCAAACTAGCGTGTTCAATATGGATCGTTTTTGGATAGTGACTTTACATAATTCGACAATGTCGTGTTTTCCATGGCCTCGGCTGAGGCAGTATCATTAGAGCCACAGTAGCGAATCTTGCTTGAGGTAGGCTATGAGACCCTAAGTTAATTTTGCTCTTCGCGTTCAATACTACTCAACCTGGGCACAGGAAACTTTACTGGAATGATGAACATGGATGCTGCATAATTGCTGCCTTCTGTCCCAGGGCCGTTTGACATGACGGGTATCAGCTACTCTGCGGCTGGGGCTCGCCTATCCTATGTGCTTTCGCTTCGGGGACCATGTGTGATCTTTGATACAGCCTGCTCTTCAAGCTTGGTTGCAACTCACGTTGGGCGTCGCTGCATGTAACACAGTGAGTGCGAATACTCGTTAATTATCGGACCCAATGCCATACTGCACCCAGCGGCTCATATTGCGCCTGCTTTCGCTGGGATGACGTCTATTTGTGGTCGCTGTTTTACGTTTGACTCTCGAGCTGATGGCTATCTTCGTGGTGAAGGGTGCGTCGGAGTCATGCTGGCCAACGAGGAAGCAGAATTACCACAAGGTGTGTTGAGATCCGCTGCTCGCCACAATGGGCAAAGCACGAGCTTTACAGCACCAAATGGATTGTCACAGTAACTTTTGCTATGAACCACCATCGATGATACGACTACTTTATTAGATGGTATGGTTGAGGCTCACGGAACAGGCACACTTTTGGGTGATCCAGTGGAAATCGGTGCGGTGGCGACCGTCATCTCCACCAGCAAAGCATGTGTCATTCTCGCGCTCAAGGGGAACCTCGGGCACATGGAATCAACTGCAGGAATATCTGGTGTTCTCAGGATTCTCATCGGCTTGCGTGAATACCATGTTGGTCGCAATGTATAATTACACGAAGTGAACCCTCAGATTTCACATCTGTTCTTATATTCTAATTCAATATTGTAGACTTGCGATACATTGGCGATACCAGCACTAAGACAATGTTGACATGCGAGGGTCAGCTCATTTGGGTGGAGTGGAATCATCGCCCATGCGGTTTGTGACCATGGAGAAATCCTGGCCTCCGCTAGGCAGAGAGGCACATCGGTCTACTTCTCTTTGTATCCCACCAAAAGAGGACTTGTCCGCGGTAGCGAAATCAAAGATATCGACTCCCATCATACCTACTTTGCACACCCTTTGCAAGAGAGTACCATGAACTTTTAGTTGAGGTCGGACAAGGTGTATTGTTTGGAAGTATTCTCAAGATGAGGCATCGCACTTTCCGATCATGTCGTGGCCGGTAGCACCCTATTTCCCGGGGTAGCTTATGTCGAGATTCCACGCGCCTGTGGAGAAACAGGGCCGGCGTTTACCTCTGTGTAAATTTTACGACCATGCCACTTACTAGGCTGATGTACATTGTGATACACACGACGAGGAAGTACATTCTCAATTTAGAGAGGCGGGGGTGCAATGCAGAGTGTCAGCTCTACCCTAAACGCCACCGGAAGTGTCTTCTGTGGAAATTTGTTCCCGCCTAATTTCCAAATTAATTATGCTATACTGCCTCTCATCTGCGATCACGATTTACAGTATCGTCTCTCGTTTGAGATGAATCACATGCAGGCCGATGAGTGACTCCGGGGTCTCAACAAGAAAGAAGTCAGGGTCGGTAGCGACAGACCGTGTCGCACGGGCGTTCATTGATCACCCCTCGAGAGGCGTGCGCGGGCGATAGCAGTCAAATTTGCGCACATGTGCTAAGAGTTGAGGATAGCCTTGATGGTGAATGCTTTCACGTATTCTTTGTCCAAATGAAGGCCATGATATTTGCTCTTCTAAAGCCAGCTCAAGAGTATCTTGTGCGGCTGATTGTGGGCGCAGCTTTAATCATTGCAGCATTTTGTGGCACGCAGTTTCAACTAAAAGACCCCCAGAGTGCGGCTCTTTGTGTTTTGTGAAATGGACCGAGAAGTCATTGGGAGTCCCACTGATGGAGAACAGGTCATGTTAGAGCATAGTTGTTTTCTGAATTGTTCGAAATGCTTCCATCCTAGTCGAGTATGTGCATCTTCAGTAATCTCTTCTCCATGAGAACGGGGATACAAAAATGGGTGGATTAGGGACCTTGAATTGCCGCCAATGTTTTCCTGCCTCTGCCGGATCTCAAAGTTGGAGATTACTCGGACACCTCTGTACATCATAGGACGCACTGTGGAGCTTACATTGAATGACTCGCCATGATGATTGCATCTCTATCCGGCATTGCCTCATCCTGGTCCTGGCTTGAAAGCTATGAGACTCGATGCAAATGCGAATTAATTTGATCTCCTGGCCGGTAAAATAGTGTGTCCGTTCAGTATTCTTTTATGTGGAATAAGGTGAATTCCAAGACACGGGCGCTCTGTGAGTTCCTAGACTCGCATCCCGTGATCTTTGATTCCCTGAGCACCGCTGAAAAACTCCATTCACAGGGCCTCCGCTCGGGAGCTCTCATTTCCTGTCCCTACGCACCCAACCAAAATCCGGATTTCTTAACTACCCAATAAACTTAGTCTAATCAGCGAGTTTGTCGATTGTTTTAGCCAACTGACAAGCACGGCAGTCTCATCCGACGCGCCACTCATGTCAACTGGACTCGACTCTATCGGGGCCACTGAATTTTTAACGCAAATCGAATAGCGTATTGATACTGACTTCCCATCAACGCTGCTTTTCGACTATCCATCAGTGCGTTCCATTGCTAGCTATTTAGACGCGTGTTTCCAGAGCCAGGATACCGAGAGAGGCCACGGTGAGGTATTTTCATCTCCTGAATTGTTTTCAGGCGACTGTATCACACTCGAGACCACCACAGCTTTGCTTCCCAGCGCGTGTGGCACAATTGTAGGAGTTCACTCGCCACTAATCGTATCTTCTCTCAACTCATTCGCAGCAAAAACATTGCGAGGGTGATTAGCGACAGCTTTACCGCAGACGCTCCTGTTCGACCACCCGAGCGTCGGAGGAATAGTGAGCTTTGTTTCGAAGGATTTTGTTGCTTCTAGCAAAGTGGGGCTGTTCAGTGATTAGCCCGCACACCATTTCGCTGAAGCGACTAGCGCGACATGACTCCTCGGTTGTAGCTTCATTCTGCCTGGGCCATCGTAGATTGGTTCTGGATTGAAAAAGCTCGTGACGAATGCTTGAGTAACGAATTCCCATGTTCCCCTGGTGCGTTGGGAAAGGTTGTGGAGTGGCCTTGTGTCAATGTCATACGGGTGTTTTACCGAATTCTCATCAGACGCAGCTGCTTTTGGAGTTTCTAATGTAGAAGCTCGGGGCATGGACCCTTAAATGCTTGTGATCCTCGAAACAAGCTACCTCATGATTGGCGCATATGGCCACCAGTTGTCACCCGGAAGTACGCCAGTCGGATATTTTCTCGGTGCTGGCGGTGCTTTCCCGAGCGTGGGCGCTGATACTGTCCTAGGAGCCCCCCCAACCTACTCGGCAACTTCTGGGGCTCTTTCAGTGGCGTCTGGTCGTGTCTCGTACACGTTAAGACTCACAGGTCCGTGTTTGACCTCGGACACAGCATGCTCTTCATCACTTGTTGCGCTGCACTTGGCAGCGTCGAGTATGAAGCTCGAGGAGTGTACTGTAGCCGCAGCAACGGGCGTCGGGATGCTCGCACAGGTGGTATCACGGACCTTTTCAGTGTTGGGCATGCTTTCTAATCTCGGCAGGTGTCACACATTCGATTGTCGAGCAGACGGATACTGCCGAGGAGAGGGATGTGGGACCTTTCTACTCGTTATGGACTCTGAAATTGGAGCGGCTCGCCTTGGTTCTGCTGTGCAGTAGGACGGTCCGAGCGCGAGCCTAACAGCACCAAATGGGTGATCCCAGAGGTGACTGATTTAGGCTGTTCTGAGATATTGTTCTCCTGCGTGTGCCCTGGAAGCACACGGCACGGGTACAGCCCTCGGGGATCCGATTGAGGCTTGTGGCTCTCTGAATCTTGAGCATTCATCAAACGACGCTCGTTCGCAGGTCGGCGCTGCGATTTGGGCGCTGTGTAAACCTGGAAATGAGAGCATGCGTCGAGTTTAATGCGCCTCTCTGAAGTCCAACATGGGTCACCTGGAGGCCTCCGCGGCTGCTGCGGGTCTCGCTGCGCTTGTACTGGTGCCTCTTAGGATGTTCATGATCTCGGCCAATGCGCAGCTGAATCAGCTCTCCTTCACATGTGAATTTACTGTCATCTGCTCTCAGTTTTCGGCCCAGGTTAAACTCGCACCTATCTTCAATCGTAACGTCAAGATTCGAGTTGCCTAGCGAGCTGGCACCCCGAGACAGAGACGAATCGGGGCATCGCGCAGGCCGACTGAGTTCGTTTGGGTTCAGCGGGACCATCGCGCACGGGGCCTTTTGATATTCTTTTGGCATACGGCAAAAAAAGCCACGAGCACTATCACATTTCCGTGCTTAACAGCCAGCAGGTTTCAACCAGCTGAGGCTCTCCAAGCTCCAATTTCCAGTCATGGGCCAACGAGGTCTCACAAAGTTTTGTTTATTATGCAACGCTGATTTGTGATGGTGGTATAACACGAGTATCTGCGGCAGCACTCACTGAGTAGTGCAGGTTAACACTCGAACTGTCTAGCTATGAGTGTGCTTGACAAATTTTAGTGCCACGAGTCTTCGTCGGCCATTTTTTAGCTGATTGATTTCATCAGCCACAGGACTATCTCAAGAAGTCAAGGCGCGCCTAAGCACGATAGTTGGCCCGCAATCCTCGACGGAGGACACAGGCTCTCCCTCAAACCTCGCTGAAGAGCAGTGATAACCGCACACCGAGATGGTTACATTTCAAGAGGAGTAGGGCACGCTGAAGGAGCATCGGGTTATTTTGGTCATTGGCGAAATGAACTACTTGTGCAATTTTCTCACATAAACGTTCATTTGATATTCATGATTTTGCTACCTGCGTGTATCTATTGAGACTCCCAAACACTTGTAATCACTCACGCTAAGAAACAAAATACTAGTTCCGTGTGAAACTCTGGATCTCGTGTTTGTATTCCTGTGTCTATTAAACCCAAGATTGCCGTTTTGATCACCGTTTTGGACTCTGAGATGCATCCAAAGCTAGTCTTCGTGTCAGAAGATGATCATCTGTTGTTCATAAATCGTGTCGTCAGGAGGCCATCCATACAGAGACTCGAGCAACACTACAGCCGATTCTGAAGACATGCTAATGGACAGATAATCTGGGAAGGATTCGATCAAGATATCACAGCTAGTTTACAATCGCTGCTGTGACAGCGTAGGTTCTCTGATTAGTGTTATTCTCATGATTCCAATCGTTGCAGTGTTTGCACATTGTGGGATCTTAAGGCTCGAAGAGTACCACTTATCCCTCTAGCATGCCAAGGATCATCACAACATTTAAACTGATCTTGCAACGTTCGTGCCAAGCTCGAATTGTGTCAGCGCTAGGATGGTATGATCCATCGTGTGTTGAGTAGTCGGTACGTCTATTGGTCCGAGTACTCCGCTGATGTCTGTTGGGCTCGATTCCATCTCTGTGATCGAGCTCACCCGAGCGCTCTGCGTGGAGACTTGACTAGAGATACCAGCGACCATACTTTTCAGCCACCCCACACTAGACTCTGTGACGGCCTTGATGTCGTCTGAGTTTGATCACAAACTCTATGGGATGCAAACGCTGGTGTGTTTTGGACACGCAGGCCTTTCATGTGTGTCGTGCATGCCGCCACTTGAGCAAACTAGCATACAAGTGGCGATCCTATCAAAAAGCTACCAGCTAGCAGGGTCGCTGGGCTTTGATTCTCCATTGTGCCTGCTGTCAATCTGTGCGCATGCTACGAATTCAACCGTCCCGGCTGCACGATGGGTAACAAAAGTGTTTGAAGTCGCTGCGACGTATGGATCGTTCATGAGCCCCAACTAGTCTGGACTTGATACGGGTGCTTTTGGAGTCCCTTCCCGTGAAGCAAAAGTGATGGATCCACAGCAAAAGCTTGTTCTACAAGCTGGGTACAGCGCGTTGCAATGAGGTCATCCGAATATTATTCCAGAGAGAGAAGTGTTCCGAGATATCCTAGTCTATTCAGATGTTGGCGTCTTTGTTGGCGTCGAGCCAAGCGGATTCTAAGGTTGCAAAGAGGCTGGGTTCTCTGCAAGCAGTGGGGCCCTCTCCACCACCTCGGGTCGACTGTCCTACACACTAGGGCTTGTTGGCCCATGCTATTCAGTCGACACTTCATGTGCATCTTCGCTGGCAGCATTGCACATATGCGTCGTAACCATCGAGTGTGACAGAAATTTCTGACATGGTATTTGTGCAGGAACCAAGGTCCTAGGTGAGGCCACTAGTGTGCTGGTGTCGTTCGGCGGGATGACTTCGCTGTGTGGGTGATGCCACACGTTCGATCGCCGCGCTGACGGATACTGCCGCGGCGAAGGCTGCGGAGCTTTTTTGCTTTCACCACAGCCCTCACTCACCCCTGAAGTCGTAGTCCTTGGCTCGGCAGTGCAGCAAGATGGTCCGAGTGCAAGCCTGACTGCACCAAATGGCTTGTCGCAAAGGTGACTAATTGAATCAGTCCAAGATGATAATACTCTCGCTCCAGGGCTGGAAGCGCACGGCACGGGTACAGCCCTCGGGGATCCGATTGAGGCTTGTGGCTCTCTGAATCTTGAGCATTCATCAAACGACGCTCGTTCGCAGGTCGGGGCTGCAATTGGGGCGCTGTGTAAACCTGGAAATGAGAGCATGCGTCGAGTTTAATGCGCCTCTCTGAAGTCCAACATGGGTCACCTGGAGGCCTCCGCGGCTGCTGCGGGTCTCGCTGCGCTTGTACTGGTGCCTCTTAGGATGTCCATGATCTCGGTCAATGCGCAGCTGAATCAGTTCTCCTTCACATGTGAATTTACTGTCATCTGCTCAGTTTTCGGCCCAGGTTAAACTCGCACCTATCTTCAATCGTAACGTCAAGTTTCGAGTTGCCTAGCGAGCTGACACCCCGAGACAGAGACGAATCGGGGCATCGCGCAGGCCGACTGAGTTCGTTTGGGTTCAGCGGGACCATCGCGCACGGGGCATTCGTTTGCTAAGGGCATCTTGGCCAATGTGTTGCGTCTAGAGTGATTATATGTCTGTATCGTACTGAACAACAGGTGCGGTTTGGCAAGAGGCTGGCATTCATTTCGAGCTCAGCAAATAGCAAGTCCGCGAGTACTCATTTACTACAGAATGAAGCAGAAGGGTCAAGAATGATGTGCGTCTACGTGATTCTCATGCCGCTCGTGCTCACTTCGGACTAGCAATGTCTTCGTGAAATTCGCTTCAACCTCGTATCACACACTCACGACAGCCTGCTTGGTTGTAGTCTAGACCTGTAAACAAATGATTGGACTGTTCTCACACAGCGTCCTGTGCCAACAGTGATCGCGTGCGGTAGAATACATGACCACCATCATGCTCCAGTTCAGAAGCCCCTTTTTGAACTAGCAAATTCGGATAAACATTTCACGAGCACCTAGACGCTTGGAGTGCTTATTCTTTGCGGTCATGGTCAGGTTGTGTTGTAGCTCCCAAGTAGCGAAAAGTGCCATCAACTATCTTCTTGATTTTTCCTATTATCACTGGCTGCTCTCCTGAATGACGGTGAAGTTGGGACTCCAAAAGACATACTCGCAATCAATATGATGTCAGATGCGTAACACGGTGCGCGGTCGACTTATCTATACGGTGCAACGCTCTCGGATTAGGCTCCGCGATTCTTTGTCGCAGACGCATCGTCCCAGGATAATAGTGTCATGGCAAGTGGGATCCACATGTAGCGACGCAGCGCCTCATTGCCTCCGAGAATCGATGGAAATATGACCCTCAAACATGCGTCTGGTGGCATCGCCGCCCTGTCCTATTACGCTCCAGCCTTGGCTTTCTGAGCTTCCAACGCAGAAGCATTCCACATCAGTCCCGGCAGATATACGATTGGGCGTGGACAGGAAAACATAACTTTTCTGAGCGACAATGAAGACACCGTTTCGCTGGCATTATCGAGCCTTAGTTGACTACTTCGACAAAGCGAGCTAGCCTGTAAGGAGATTGGGCGCCTCGAGGTTGGCACGGAGAGTGCGGTAGATCGCGGCAAGTCCACCAAATCTTTTTTGATGTCATTCTTTGAAGCTGATGATAACCATGGTGTTGAAGGGGTCGACACATTCAACGCCTGCTATGGCGGGACCAATGCGTTATTCAACACCACAAACTGGATTCAGAGCCGAGCCTATGATGGCGCATATGCTGTTGTGGTCTGCTCCGACCCGGCGGTCCATCCGGATCCCGCTTATATCTCTGGCATCGGAGCGTCCTCGATATCTCTTGCCGCGGCTGCTTAGGCACCCTTATCGCTTCAGCGAGAGCGCACAACCTTTATCAAGCACTCGTGGGACTTTTATCGGCCTGTTGGTTGGCACACAAATGACGCGATTATGGACATAATCATCGCAACAGGTCAATATGAGGAGGCAATGATGTGGTGCCAGAGTCAGTTCAGTGCCATAAAAGGATCAACTGACCTACTGTTGATGTCAAACCTCGTAGTGTACCACAATAACGCTCCTTATCACTCCAAGAGGAACCTGAGGCTCATGTGTGAAGCGATGTATGGTAAACTCACCAAAGCTCAACACGAGGGATTGTTCCAGGACCATGTTGAGGCTGGCATTGCCATTAGTGCCCAAAACGCCACCACCTACACGTGTCCGCTCTATGCTAGTCTACTATCACTGGCTCTGACGTCTCGTGATAGCCTTGCTAGCCAACATATTCTGTGCATGTCGTATGGATCCGGCTGCGCCGCTAGTATGTATGGACTTGAGGCTTCTGCTACGCCCTTGCACACTTCAGATGTGCTTGCTAGTCTCTGCAGTCGACGGTAGAGATCGATAGAGAACGCCTTATTCTTTGTTAACACTTTCGAGATGACTCATGGATGATTCGGATACCAACCGTCACATTACAAGGGCCGTTAGGATGCAGCCTTTTACCTTGAGAGTGTCAGTTTGATAGGTGTCCGTACTTATGAAGCGTATTCTGCGGCAACTTTGCTGAAGGTAGACTCGCATGAATTTTCTCGTGTCGTCTGCATTGAGTTGATGAACGACTCCGTGACCGACTAGCTGCTTGCGGAGCTCATACCAGCCCTTGATCCGCATCGAATCATCGCTTTTGTATTTGCAACCGCGGGGGGTTGTGGCGTCGAAAGCGCCATAGCAGAGAGAGGCTTCTTTGGTGAGGTTGTCCATCGCAGTGGTTACCCAGTGGTATTTGCGAGTCATGGGCAAACATCAGGAGGGCACTTACTCATCCTGGCGGTCGCAGACCTTGTGCTTGCGACATCCGAATCCAAAGTTTCCTTTGCTCTAACGCGCCATCAACGCTATGGTATCATTCCCCTGGCGCTTCGTAGACGTGCTAGAACTCACCTCATTTGGCGGTGGGTGTTACTTCTAGAGGAGCTTGATGCGGCCACAGCATAGAGGAGCGGGCTGGTCGACATTGTTACTTCGATTGAGGAAGAGCATAACTTACTTTTGTGTCTAGATCTGCTTCCAGAGTCGAAGGTCTCGAAGGGCAACATCCGGGGAGACTCCCTGGAGTTCGCCATGGGCTAGCAGGTTCCGATGTATCGCCTTGGAGTCATGACCACCAATTCATCGATGCACATTACGCAACCACTTCGGTTTAGGTTTCCTCTGGCAGGGGTTGGGGAGATGATGGTGGACAAAGGCTCTTGCTCCGCTGAGTAGATGTACAACCTTCAGAGCAAAGGGGTCGATGGGACCCATGCCATGGTGCTGTGGATGGGTTCCGAGACTCAAGGAGCGCGCTTGGGTTTTCATGCTGATGCAATTTTGCGACTGCGGAGCGCGGCCTTACAGTAGCGCGCATCATGATTCATTTGAAATACTCTCGCAGACCTGTGAGCTCCCCTGCTTGGTATTTTGCGTGGATCGTGTTTGCACCTGTCCAATTGGATGTTAGATGCTGACTGGAGGACTCGCGAAACTCAAGCGCACAGAGCAAGGACAGCTGAGCACGCTCACAGTTTCGAACCCACTAAAGCAGAGACCGCAGACCTACTCGGCACAGGCGTCATTTCAGCATTTCACGATATTTCCTCCAGGGCTCATTAACATGCACTTACCCTCGCATACACTGTGACCCTGGCTCCTCGCGCTGGGGCCTGAAACACCACTATGCTGCTACGACCCAGCTCCAGATTGGCAAGTTGCGATAACGCAGATGCCTCTTGATGCGAGGAATATCAACCAAGCTTCTCATCAGAGAAAATGCTTATCACTTGACGCAACATGTCCCCCTTCACCTCGCAGGAGATCCGCACATGATGGGATCTAGCGACACTTTTCAGATCAAGTGGATGAAATTACTTTAGTCTTCAAACTTCTGTTCAAATATGACGTGTTGAAACATCAGTAGCAGATATCTTATCTGATGCTCATCTCGGAAACGTACCAGGCCTTCTGTCTAGTGGAAGTACAGAGATCGCAAAGCCAATGCAAATACCCCTTTTATCGACCGCGGATCTGGTGACCTGTATCCCCGGCCTCCGAGTTTGAAAAGCATTCAAATTAGCAAGGCGATAACTTCAGACGCTGGTCGAAGAAATGCACACGCACAACCTCCTGCGGTTTTACTTGGCTGGACTTGGCATCTCAAGCATTGATATGATTGTGCGCCACCTGTAGCCCAACTCTCATCAGCACTTGGTGTGCTGCGATATTGGTTTATGAGAAAACAACCCCGCCTTTTTACAAACACTTGCTCGTGCTCTCTGTTGTTGCTGATTGCCGACGACACTCGTTCTCCTAGCGGACAGAAAGTCGGAGATTGGGCCACTAATATTGGCGTCAGACCTGTTGATTGTAGAAACGTAAGGCACTCGCACCACGGATTGGCATACAGCAGCATTTAGCACCAATATGCTATGCTCCAAGAAAAATGCCATGGCACACATCAACATGAAGGAATACTTCCGCTCCTTGTCGATAGCTGAAGTCGTCCTGGTTGCTGCCAGAGTCCTATCCAGGGTGACATCAGACGACCAACGAATGCGACTCAGTCGCCTGCATTTCTCAGCTCACTCGGCTTGCCTTGTCGAATTGAACGACCCTGCTCATTTCAACGGGGAAAGTCTCGAACTCATGTCGGATTTGAAGTAGTGCTTCATCTCTGCAGATAAAGTAACAGCGTAGTGACAACTGTGTGCAGTGGTCTTGCAAGGAGTCGGCGCACACTTCTGCACGGGTGGACGGCTCGAGAAAAACGGCATGGACCACCAGGGTATTTCGATTCACGAACCCCTAAAGAAAATGAGCATCAACAGCGAAGTCGCCATCCGCCTGAGGAAGCTTGCTGTCGCAACAATTGGGGCAGTGCATGGTAAGCTCATCGGTGGCGGGGTCGCCCTTGCCCTGGCAGCACAGTGCCGCGTTTGTTCGGGCAAGGCAATGTTCAACTTTGGCAACCTCCCTCGCGGAATGAACCCCTTATTTATGCTGAGCCGTTCCTTGCCTCTTGTGGCCGGATGGTCGGAAGCAATGGTCATGTTTATCGAAGATCCTACAATCACTGCCAAGGCTGCATGGCAAATGGGCATTGTCGATGGTGTCGTGAATACTGTCGGCCACGCTAAGGGCATAGCTTGAATTTAAGTTTCTCGTCCAAGCTCGAAGTTGCACAAAACTAAGAGGGATTAGAGTGAGTGCATCAACAACACTGCACATTCTGCTCAGGAGGTGTTGTGCATGCTTGAGTCGTTTTCCAGTAGGGTCGCATTAAAGTTAAGACCCCTCGAGCTTCTAGGCGGGTCCAAGACCGTGCCATCCTTCGCCATCAGGACACAATTTGCCATTACGCGCGCGAACAGAAAGGCAGTTGAGTCATGTGTAAATATCTGCATTTTGGAAACGTTGGGCACCAAGATCGAGTTTGATGCTCCACTGATGGCTGCTGGAATTGACTCCCTCGGAGCGATGGAGTTGTAGCACGCCTTGAGTGACTAGCTCGGCACGGAACTAGAAGCGTCGCTTGTGTTTGATCACCCGTCGGTTGGCGACATCGTGTCGATGTTGGTGTCACCGGCCCTTTTCGCTTCTTGGGAGAAAATCAGGCCTCAAGTAGATTGCGTTCAACTCTACGAGACTGTCGACACCTGCATATTGGAGGTGTTGGGTACCAAGATCAAGTCTGATGATCCACTGATGGCCGCTGGAATCGACTCCCTTGGAGCAAGTGAACTGCAGTGAACATTGAGCACCAAATTCGGGACAAAACTGGAAGCGACCCTTCTGTTTGATCATCCAACAGTTGGTGCGCTAGTACCACTGTTGGCGGCTGCTTTTGATGATGCATCCGTCAATGATAAAAGATAATACATCCGCTCAGACACTGGCGAGGACTCGCGCCTACATTCGAACCTGCCCTCGGCATCCGGAGCAACTGCCTTTGGTGAGGACTATGGCGAGACATCAGTGGCGTCGGCGGAAGTTCGTCGAGATTCATCGGATATGAAGGTGGTTCAAGCCACCAGTGACGGGGGGAACATCGAGTGGAGGGATTTGCCCAGGCCCAAGTTTGCGTCGCGAAAGGGCGAGAGTGACACAGTCATTATTGCAGTTTGTACTATTGGGCTCTCGTATGCGGACCACCTCTTCCTCCACGGACGCTACCAAGTGAAGAGACCGTGTCCAATTTCACCCGGCTTAGAGGGTACTGGGGTGGTGTCAGCAGTCGCGCGAGGCACTATACTATGGCGCATTGGCACCAGGGCTGGTTTCGCATCACTTCTCAACGGTGCTTGCGCAGAGGAAGTGCTCCTTGCAAGTTTCGAGTGCATGCAGCTGCCTGATGAGGTCGATCACATCCAGGTTGTTCAGTACAGTGCCCTGGGTGTCAACTTCACGACAGCCCATTTTGCTCTTGTCTATAGAGCACCTATCGCAGTGTGGGATGGAAATTTTCTTCTAGTTCTTGGTGCTGCGGGTGGGGTTGGTCTAGCGGCTGTGCAAGTGGGAAAGATCCTAGGGTCGACATTGATTGCCTGCGCGAGTACGCAAAGCAAGCGACTACTGTGCAACGAGCTGGGGGCTGACTTTGTAGTAGACTATACGAGTCGAACATGGCCTCTCCACATTGTTGATCTGACAGCTGGAGCGGGCGCTGACTGTGTCTTTGATCCCGTTGGTGGAGATCACATCTTCAGATGCTTGCGTTGCACTTGACCTGGAGGAAGCGTGCTCACGATTGGGTATGCCTCCGGGCTGATTCCTCAAGTTCCGGTTGAGTAGCTCCTGCAGCGAAACATATCGCTTGTCGGTGTATGGGCGACTCCTTCGCAGTTTCCTACAAGAATGCACAACTCATCCTTGGAATGTGTCAAATACTGGCTGGAAGGGTCCTTGAAACCGATGATCGATGAACTACTGCCAATGGATAGACTGAGAAATGGCCTCGCGCGAATTGTGAACCGCAGGGTACAGGGGAAAATTGTGATGATGATGGAATCAGCAGAGTGGGCTGCGGCGTGTCCACAATCGACTTCTCCACCGGTCCTGCTTGGCGGGCAAAGAACCATCGATAAGAAGGGAAGAAGACTTGACCATTCTACCATGCGAACGCCATGTCTTGCGAGTCTCGAGAAAATCTCATGTACATTCAGCAGCCTCCACATTTGCTCTGGCTCTGTTGTGGTCGCAGCCTCCGCCTGCAAGCTAAGTGGCGGAATTTATGGTAGATCACTACTTTGCGAGTACATCACACGTACTCTGATATCCTCCCGGACTGTGTCACTCAATTGATGGGTGTCTTTGGTCTCAGTTCCACAAGCGGCAACGTATGGTGGGTTCATACACAATGTGTTCTGCCTATCCGACTCAGACTTGGGTATGTCGGCAATCGAGGCGCACTCCATTGACTGCTAGCAGGTCGTACTGCTAGAATGTGTGTGCATGATAATGTACGCCGCACACGAGCACGCTGGAGTGTTCGTTGGATTGGGGGGAATTTCGAGGGCAATGCCATCGTTGGCTGATGATGCCGATCACGTCGAGGAGGCGCCATTTGCCTATTCAGCCAGCGGCAACCTGCTTTCCGTGGGCTCGGGGTGAATTTCGTATCATCTAGGTCTCACGGGACCGTGTGTAACACTCGATACCGCGTGCTCCTCATCATTAGTGACGCTACATCTTGGGGCAGTAACGCTGGAAATAAATGAATGCACATGTGCCTGTAGCACCAGTGTCGGCATACTCACACAAGATTCGTCTCTGTCTTTTGCAGGTGGGGGCATGCTTTCTAACCTCGGCAGGTGTCACACATTCGATGGCCGAGCAGACGGATACTGCCGAGGAGAGGGATGTGGGGCCTTTCTACTCGTTATGGACTCTGAAATTGGAGCGGCTCGCCTTGGTTCTGCTGTGCAGTAGGACGGTCCGAGCGCGAGCCTAACAGCACCAAATGGGTGATCCCAGAGGTGACTGATTTAGGCTGTTCTGAGATATTGTTCTCCTGCGTGTGTCCTGGAAGCACACGGCACGGGTACAGCCCTCGGGGATCCGATTGAGGCTTGTGGCTCTTTTGAATCTTGAGCATTCATCAAACGACGCTCGTTCGCAGGTCGGCGCTGCGATTTGGGCGCTGTGTAAACCTGGAAACGAGAGCATGCGTCGAGTTTAATGCGCCTCTCTGAAGTCCAACATGGGTCACCTGGAGGCCTCCGCGGCTGCTGCGGGTCTCGCTGCGCTTGTACTGGTGCCTCTTAGGATGTTCATGATCTCGGCCAATGCGCAGCTGAATCAGCTCTCTTTCACATGTGAATTTACTGTCATCTGCTCAGTTTTCGGCCCAGGTTAAACTCGCACCTATCTTCAATCGTAACGTCTAGATTCGAGTTGCCCACCGAGCTGACACCCCAAGACAGAGACGAATTGGGGCATCGCCCAGGCCGACTGAGTTCGTTTGGGTTTAGTGGCACCATTGCGCATGGGGCCTATACCCGCGCCTCACGGGAAACTCCTTTTTCGAAAGCTAAGTTATCATCGCTCTATCGTGCATAGCGTCAACTTTCTTGCAGCAGTTTGTGCTTGACCCGCATCAAGCGCGGGCGGGCGTTGATCCGCATGCTACTCCTTGGTTCTTTTACCAAGGACAAACTATCAGAAATCTGTGACCAAAGACCATCACCTGGGCTATCTGGAGGTTCTTGCCATTTTCAGACCCACTGTTGGATCAAGCATTGACCGGCCTATAATCAAAACTCACAGTTTCGCGACTCCCTCGTGATGCCATTTTTAATCATGCGAGTCCGTGCTATACGAACATTGACGTTTCTCTATGGTTAACCAAGTCTGGCTTTCTGCAATGCGACAGGTATTCGTGCATGTTTGCAGACGCATGCGCACTGAGGGAGTTGGGTCAAGTTCTTCTGTGTCTAATACCGTGCATGACAAGCAACTTTTTCCAGATATTCATTTGAGATTTCCATATACCGAGATTATCGGACTTCGTATCTTCTTATTCCCTCCTGCAGCCGCTCCGCCAGGCCTTTTTAGTCTCCGGGCGTCATCGTCGAATAGACTTAATGATCTTGGATAACTTCGCCATCACCACTTCGGCTCGTGTTTCTCCATGGTATGGACACGTATGCAGAGTTCCAAATCAGCTCCATGTACCATCAAGAGTGGGTTTGAAGCCAGACAATCGAGTGGCTAACTGTGAGCGCCCCAAATCAGGGAGCTGACTTTTCGTCTGGGGCTGGTGGCATGTTCCTGCGCGATCGATTTGGATACGATCCGCTCAAGTCGCGGTCGTGGCGCCTGATCACGCAGTATTCCCCGACTAGCGCGAGCCAAGCTTAGATGTTTGGGTGAATCCGCAGAGCGACAGACCTCAACAACGACAGCTATGGGCTCCGGGGGGATTGGACAGCATCTGTCTAGCAGATAACACAGGCCGTGAGGGAACATGCTCCAATTCACGGTTTGGCGGGTATCAGCGAGGGTGGAACCGCGGCGTCGATTCTGATCACTCAAAGCGCCACTGACTTTGGGCCAGGATTCTACAGTTGATTGCTGATCAGCGTCTGCGCGCTGACGTCGCCTGCTCATAGTTGCCTGTACGAGGACTGAGCAAGCAACACGCCGTCCCTCCATATGGTCGGCGATAGCGACACCAACGATATTCAGCACATGGTCGGGCGGACCGCGGGGCTCGTTGGGTCTAGGTCTGGGATATGCATGTTCCGTGCAGGGCACAAACTACCCAACATGAGCGCTCGCCTTGTCGGTGCGTTGGAAGCACTTAGCTGCAGTGCGATTGGTGGGTCAATTGCGCATGCGTCCGATCCAACTCAATGGTAACACCAAAGATGCCAGTAAAAGTACGATCACGAATTCAGCTCTCATCAGACACCCAAGGGTGCGAGTACTGGGTCTATCAACGGAACTTGGTCATATAACATCGATGCTCGCTTGCACACTGCGCACGCGTATTGGCAAGACGGGCACGTTCTTCGTTTGGAGTGTGGGCGCCTAGAGACAATCACTCTTCTCCTGGCAAGTATGCTACACTGCATCACGTGCCAAGCGCTCGTTCTCTCCGAGACTGACGATAGCGTGCAGAATTCGACGGTGCAGTAACCAAGTTGCAATCTCGCCGCTGGTCTGGAAAAATACATCGCGACTCCAATTCTCGCGATCCTTGCCAAAGGATCATGAGTTAGTTTTGCTCAAGTCGCAGATTGGTGCGTCAGTATGAGAGGACTTCAGCGAGGAGAATGCTTGACAGCTCCCACGTGGAATGAGAGTGCCGTTGCCTTTGACAGAAGGGATGCTCTCTTAGAATTGAGAAGTTGCACGACGACCCTTTAGCGCATCAAAGTCGTTGGGACTTGAAACACGCTAGCCTTGATGCGCAAATAGCATGCGTCGCTCGCGGCTCAAGAAGGGAGCGATGTAAGATGGGCAGGCGTCGTTACGTCGACCTCACGTCTCATTGTGCAGCGTGGTGGCAGCGATTTGCCTTCGTGATGTGCGAAATCGACCGAGGTGCTCAAACTTTCGTCAAGGCCGAGAACAAAAGAATCTTCGTGCTGGTTGAGTTCGGACCGCGTGATTGTGATTCAGCCCGACGTCCAGTGCAGCCAGCTTTAGGAGCAGATGATGCGGTATTTAGCTGGTGTCGTTATCGAACTGAGTATGAACAGCTTAGGAGAGCTTTCCCCGCCTCTCATTGCAGCCCCCACGATTCTAGTAGCTGAAAAAGCGTCCTATGTGTGCATCAGTGAACAGGCTGTTGGAGATTACACACTCATCGTGGATCGGGGCCATTAATTGTCTCCAGTTGGCCAAGAGACTGACTTGACTCTCTGAATTGCAGTCTCGTGTTTCAAGTGTCTGGCAGCAACCTGGGCCAATATTGGGCCCGCCGTCCAGCTCCCGGTGTCTACGGGTACCAGTCGACAGATATAAGTCTCAAGAGTCCACGTTGCCATCGTCGCCGGTCACGGTGCAATCCACGTGCGCTTGGCTTGATTCGAGCCCGCGGAAGTGAGTTCCTTGACTGCGATTCTGGGCGTGGCCTGCAAAAGCGGAATGACCATTGACGTACTCGCATCTTTTCATGAGGACAGTTGGATCCCTGATAATTGGCTACTTGGCAAGGAAAAGCTAGTTGGTAAAACAATGGTGGGTGCGGGACTCTTGACATTCGATACAATCTCATCTCTCTGAGGCATTTCGATTATGGCAGTCTCCGATGTCGATGCTCTGTACACGAGCGTCGAGTCTTTGGCGCGAGCCGATAGCCTGGAAGCAGCTTGAATGAGGCTCATCGACGATATCAAGCAGGAGAATCAACAAAAAGCGACAGACATGACAAACCTGGGTGTGCTCCTGCTACCGGCTGCGCAAGTGCGCTGTGTGTTGAGCAGTGCAGCAAAATCCATGTTCGGTGGTATGAAACTGACTTCATATACTGACACTAAGCTCGTCAACCTCACGTGGAATGACACCACGACAGCATCACTCGAGCTCGACGACCTTTCCACGTTCAACGCCATGACCTCGAGCTTGCTGGAGAATCTTGGACGATGTCTGGCAGCTGCGTGCGCCTCGACGGAGATTTGAGCTCTGGTGCTATAAGCCACTGGCCCCCATTTCTGCACTGGAGGTCGCTACGACAAAAAAGCATCGTCACTGCCGCCTTGGTGGGTCAAAGCGCAGGGCATCTATGGCAGCGGGTATCTCCTTGACCGAATACGGAGCGCATCAATCTATTCCATCTCCGTGCTCCAAGGATCGTCCATCGGCGGCGGGTTGCTGCTGGGCCTGGCCACGGACCATCGTATCGCCACGCGCTCTGCGATTTTCCGGCTGGGCGTCGCGCCGTATGGCCTCAGTCCGGTAGTGATGGCAACAGCCGTACTGCCGAAACTCGTCGGACACAGTCTCGCAGCGCGAATGTACGTGGAGGACTTGTCCTTTAACGCGCATAACGCCACGGCATCTGATATCTCAAGTATCGTGATGTCCGACCGTCAGATAGCGCATAGGGAAGCCACGCAACGCGCCGTTGCTGTCTCCGGTACTTGTGAATGCGAGGATTGTTGTAGCAAGGCGCATCATTTCATTCAGGAGACCCTTCTCAACATTGAGGCGAGCGGACGAGCCAACGAGGCGCTTCAGACAACATCGCCAGTTTCGCGGGCACGAATCTGAAAGACTACAAAAACAGTCGTATCGTCCTCTACTCCCCAAAATGTAGTACTCTCTTGAAGTCATCGCACGGTCACGCCTGCTATCACAGCAGAGGCTGTCGAGAATCTCGTAGCCTCGGTAGTCTCCTTGATGCTGGGGGAGGCCCATATTGGCACTGACACACCACTCATGGATGCCGGGGTGGATTCACTTGCGGCTGGCGAGCTTGTGCAGCAGCTTGGGACTCAGTTCAGCACTGAGCTCCCAGCGACGACGCTATTCGACTACCCGAGCATTGCATCAATAGCGCAACATCTCGCACCTAAGCCCCAGTTCCTGGAAGCACAAGACACTCACATTGACGATCCTGCAGACTAGAAAACGGAAGACTAAAGCTGTTCAGTATTTGTCGCGGCCAGGTCACTCCGTCTTCCGCCTTGTCTCCGCTCTGACACTGATGCAGCGGGGTGCTCGAAATACAGGCTGAACATGGCTTCTTCAGTGCCACTCTCACGCTGGGACATGGACGCAGTCGATTTTAGGGGATTCAATGCTGATTAGAAACAGCGTCTCTGATACGCCGCCTTCTTGGAACGCGGGAGCAATTTCGATGCCAGCTTTTTTCGAGTTCGACCGGCGGAAGCAGCGCCAATGGACCCGCAATAATTTCTCGTGTTACAGGTCGGATATTGTGCGCTGTAGAGAAGATAGCTCAAATGAAGTGCGCTCGCGAACGTGGACGTCGGAGTCGTGCTCGGTATGATGAATTTGGACAATGCGCAGGTTTCTCTAGTCGCCGGCCCTTACGATATGACTGGCAACGGCATGTCTGCGGCCGGGGCCCGTCTATCTTTCGTGTTTGCCATGCGCGGTCCGTGCGTTGCTACAGACACCGCGTGCTCGTCCAGCCTCGTCGCGACGCACCTTGCGGTGCGCCAGATAGAACACGGCGAGTGTGTTCATGCGCTGTCGATAGGAAGCAGCATGATTCTGAGCCCGCGCGGCGCGTTTTCCATGTTTTCCATCGCTGGGATGCTGTCGACGCGCGGCCGATGCCACACGTTCGATTCCCGCGCAAACGGGTATCAGCGCGGCGAGGGCTGCGTGAGCATCGTGAACAGCTCCGTCGGCTCCGAGAACGTGCACCTGGGGTCGAGCTGCCTGCACAATGGTCGGAGTGCGACATTCACCGCGCTGAACGGGTCGTCGTAGTAGCACCTGCTGCGTCGCAGCGGAGAACTCGACACTCGATTCATCGAAGCCCACGGGACCGGCACATCGCTGGGCGATCCTGTGGAAGTCGGCTCGTTGGCCGGCGTGTTCGCGTCGTCTGCTGTGTCGATTACCTCCCTCAAGGGTAATCTGGGCCACATGGAAGGCACGGCAGGTGCTGGTGGCTTGCTGAATCTCAGCAGCGTGCTTGAATTTCGGTCGGGAGTCGCCAACGCCCAACTTCGTCAACTGAATCCGAACCTACAGAACATGATCGCTGGATGAACACTGGAGCTCGCGGCGGACTAGACTACGGTGACGCGGGCATCGACTGGCGGCGCAAGCTCGTTCGGGGCTACGGGCATCATCGCGCACGCGAGGCTTGGAACTCTGTGCGAGTAGAATTAGGAAGGTGGCAAATCCGGAAAGGTGTCCGATTCTTCGATACTTCTACCGTCGTGATTTATAGTCATATCTTAGTATCGTGCTCAAATGGTTGCATCTGCCAAAAGACAGAGAAGAGACACCGGCTTCCGGCAGATAGTTTCACTACAGCGACAGAAAGATAATGCCAATACAGAGTGTGCATATGCCTTTCTCTTGTGATTAGTGCTCAGTAGAAGCACACAGAGTCTTTCTGACGTCCGCTTCAATCGCATGTTTATCATATCTCGTGACAATGAGCTTGATTATTTTATAGATTTCGCTTAGCGTAGTTGGACCCTTTCTACAAGCGTTTTAAAAACAGGGGTGCTTGTGTGTGGTATATTTTGTGACTGACAATGACCCGCGGCTCAGAGGGAGACCTTTAAGCTGGCGCCTCAGCCAACCCAGGCTGTCCACCATCAAGCTCACGGCACGCTCGTGTTTGGAACCCGCGGGGATGTTATACTGCAACTTATTACAGATGCACTGCCAGGGTCGTCAACCGAAACCACTGTTTTTTCGCTGGTGGCCGCCCTTGATTCAGGGAACTCTTGGAGCCCTAAAGGCGTACTTGCGATTGATTTGTTTACTCATGACAGAAGAGGTGGTGCATCATCGACCCGTCTATATCATGCTTTGATAGCGAGCCGGCTTCCGCGTTTCCTCGTGGTAAACGCGTCGACATGGGATGGAGCTGTCGTGGCAAATGGGCTCCATCTGCAGCGAGAAGGTACCTCTCTGGCTCCAATAAGTAATTCTGAGATGAACTTGAAATGTGAGGGTGTTGGTATTGCCGCCCTCTCTTACTACGCTCCTAGTCTAGCCCTGAACGCCTCAAGCGCGGAAGCATTCCATGTCAGTCCTGGCAGATACACGATGGGGCGCGGGTAGGAGAACATCACTTTCGTCAGCGACGATGAAGACACTGTCTCGCTAGCATTGTCAAGTTTAAGTAGACTGCTTTGATAATGTGAGCTGGCCTTCGTGGAACTCGGCCGCCTCGAGGTTGGCACGGAAAGTGCGGTAGACCGCGGCAAGTCAACCAAGTCGTTCTTGATGTCATTTTTCGAGGCTGACAACCATCACAGTGTGGAAGGGCTCGACACTTTTAATGCGTGCTATGGTGGGACAAATGCCTTATTCAGTACCACGAACTGGGTTTACGGCCAGGCGCAAAACGGTCATCATGGAATCGTGGTCTGTTCCGACCCAGCGGTCCATCCGGACCCTGCTCATATCTCTGGCATCGGAGCATCCTCGATTTCTATGGTTGTGACGTCACAAGCGCCATTGACACTTTAGTGATAGCGCACGACGTTTGTGAAGCACTCCTGGGACTTCTATCGGCCTGTTGGATGGCCCACGAACGACGCAATTATGGACGTCAACATCGCAACAGGTCAATATGAAGAGGCCATGATGTGGTGCCAGGGCAGATTTAGTGAAACGGTGGGTCGAGATGATCTATTGACAACATTCAATCTTGTGGTGTATCACAACAACGCCCCATATCATTCCAAAAGGAACCTGAGGCTCATGTGTGAAGTGATGTACGGCAAGCTTAGCAAAGCTTAGCATGAGGTTCTCTTCCGGAAGCACGTTGAAAACGGCATCGCCATGAGTGCCCAAAACGCATCAACTTACACGTGCCCGGTCTATGCTAGTTTACTTTCACTTGCTCTGAAGATTGGTGACAGCCTTGCTAATCAACGCGTCCTATGCATGGCGTATGGATCTGGCTGCGCCGCTAGCATGTTCGGACTGGACGCTACTGCTGCGCCCGTGTACGCCTCAGATGTGCTTGCCAGCCTGCGTGATCGGTAACAAACACCAGTAGAGGACGTCCTACTTCTCGTCAGTGCTTTTGAGATGACACATGGATGATTCGGATACGAGCCGTCACATCGCGAGAGCTGATAGGATGCAGCCTTCTATCTCAAGAATGTCAGCGCGATGGGAGTCCGTGCATATGGAGCTCATTCTACAGTTACGTTGATCAAGGTAGACTCACTGGAATCTTCTCGTGTCGTCCACGTCGAGCTAGCCTAGGACTCGGTGACTGACTCGTTGCTCGAGGAGCTCATCCCAATCCTAGATCCCGGACGAATCATAGTTTTCGCATTTGCCACTGCTGCTCAGGGTGGTGTCGGAAGCGCCATGGCAGGGAGAACCTTTTTGAATCACTTCTCGTCGCGAAGCGGTCATCTTCCCATCGTTGTCTCGAGTCGCGGGCATACGACAGGGGGGAGAATGCTGATGATTGCAGTTGCAGATCTCTCGATTGCAACGTCTAAAGCTATGTTTGGACTGTCTGTCGCGCTTCATGAACCCCATGGCATTGCCCCCTTGGGACTTCGCAGGCGGGTCAGATCCCACCTCATTCGGCGATGGGTGCTGCTTCGAGAGGACCTTGACGCAGGCACGGCACTGAGGAGCGGTCTTGTTGAGATCATCATCTCAATAGGTGAAGAATATCACTATCTTCGCTCTCTAGATCAGAGAGGTGAAGAACATGAGTTTCTTTGCTCTCTCGATCAGCGCTTAGCATCAGAATCGACCGTGGGCTCGCAGATGTAGATGATTCTCCCAGGAGTCTTGGCAACAGATACAGCAACGCACATTAGCCATGTGAAATTCCCTCTGGCAGGGGTTGGAGAATTATTGTTGGACGAAGGCTCTTGATATTGGAGGCAGACAGCTGAGTACATTTACAATCTTCAGATGGAAGGGATGCATGCCATGGTGCTGCGGATAGATTCCAAGACCGAGAGAGCACGCTTGGGTCGCCACACTCAGACGATTTCGCCGGAGAGGTCGGCCTCTGATCAGAACCTGCGATGATCAATTTCAAAAATTCTTACAAAGGTCCGAGCTCCGCTACTTGGTATTTTGCAGAGTTATAGCTCGCGTGTGTTCAACTGGATGCTTGATGCTGACTGGAGGACGTGCGGGACTCAAGCTTGTGGGAAAATATCGTCGAAATGTTCAGCCACTGCACGCATTCCACAGTTCTCATGGGAATGTTCGGATCTGCTCAACGGGGGCATTGTTTCTGCGTTTCATGATGTTTCTTCTAGTCCATATTCTCATGCGCTCACTCTCGCTTACACTGTGACCGTCGCGCCCCGTGTTGGGGCCCGGAATAGTACCATGCTGCTACGACCTAGTAGGTCCTCCGAATGAAGGTGTACTAACGCGAAGTCAAACACCCCCAAACTCGGAAAAAGTCAGGGGAGCACGCTGCTGTCAATCTTGGCGACATGTTTTGAAGAGAAGAACTTCGACAGCCCTCATTCTCCTATTCTAGCTAGTGCTCCTCTCAGAACCCGCCTCAGAACCCGCCTTCTCTCTGACCGAGGTTCTAGTAGAAACCTGAAGAAGGTTAGAACGTCAATAAAAACGCTCTCCCAGTCGATGTAGGACTTGTTAACACTTGACCTCAAACGACAAGAATAAGAGTCAGCGAAAGGATAAATTCAGATGGTGATTGACACGTGAATGCGCACCCCTAATCTCGTGCAGCTTTGGCTGGCTAGGTGTGGCATTGCAGTCGTTGATATCATTGTTCGGTAGATGTAGCCCGACTCCCATCAGCACTTGATTTGCGGTGACTTTTAGCCAGGAGGGAGCAACTTTGCCTTCACACGAACACTTGCCCACGCTTTGTGTCGTTGCAAATTGCCAACGACCCTTGTTCTTCGAGCGGATGTTAAGTCCAAGTTTGGGCCACTAGTATCAGCGTCAGACTTGTTGATTGTAGAAAACTAAGGCGTTGGCGCTGCAGATTGGCAATCGACCTTGGCACTGGCTACAAGTGCACACCCAGCCAATAAGCGTGGCTCGATGGACATTTTCTCGGCACACGTCCGCCTGAAGGAATGCATCCGCTGCTCTTCAGCAGCCGAGGTTGTCCTCAATGCTGCGTCATGAGGCGCAACTGCATCGACGACTGACAAATCCAGTTTGGGATACTTTTGAATGCGATTAAGCCGCCTACATCTGAATGATACCGCTAGTCTGGCTGAATTGAACGACCCTGTGCATTTCAACGGGGAAAGTTACGAATTGATGTCCGATGTGAAGTTGTGCATCGAGTATGCAGACAAGATGGCATCGTAGTGTTAATTGCGTGCGTTGGTCTTACAAGGAGTTGGTGCGCACTTCTGCACCGGTGGACGGTTAGAGAAGGGCGCTCCGGACTATTCAGGTCTTTCAATTCATGATGCTCTGGGACACGTCAATATCAACAACGAGGTTGCCATGTGTTTGAGGAAGCTTCTGGTTGCAACAATGGCGGCGGTGCACGGGAAGCTTATCGGTGGCGGTGTGGCTCTTTCTTTGGCAGCAGAGTACCGCAGTAGTTCTCAAGAGGCAACATTCAACTTTGGCAATCTCCCTCGTGGAATGAACCCTTTATTCATGTTGAGCCGTTCCTTGCCACTTGTCGCGGGGTGGTGAGAAGCAATGGAAATGTACATTGAAGACCCCACGATCACCGCGCAGACAGCATGGCAAGTAGGCGTTGTGGATAATGTTGGGGATTCCGTCGGTGAGGTGAAGAACGTTGCTCGAGTTTAAGTTACACACCTAAGCCCAAGCTCACACAAAATCAACGATGGTCAATTTAATTGCATCTGCGACACCGCACATTCTGCGCAAGAAGTCTTGTGCATGCTCGAGTCGTTTGTAAATCGTGCTGCTTTAAAACCAATGAAGCAGGTAGACGTACCAAAGAAGATGTAAGCTGCGAATGTCACCTGATTGTCAGTCGCACGTTTCGCCGTGGACACGACTGCAATACAGGAGTCTGTTCATATCTGCATTTTGGAGGTGCTCGGCACGGAGATCGAGTCTGATACTCCACTCATGGCGGCGGGCATCGATTCTCTCGGAGCAACGGAGTTGCAGCGCGCCCTGAGCGAACAGCTCGGCACGGAGCTAGAAGCGACGCTTCTGTTTGATCACCCGTCGGCTGGCGGTATCGTGTCGTTGCTGGTGCAATAAACTGCCGAAGCTCCCATAGAGCAACCCAGGCCTTAAGTAGACGGCGCTTGACTCTACCAGACGGTGGGTGCCTGCATTTTGGAGGTGCTCGGCACGGAGATCGAGTCCGATACTCCACTCATGGCGGCGGGCATCGATTCTCTCGGAGCAACGGAGTTGCAGCGCGCCCTGAGCGAACAGCTCAGCACGGAGCTAGAAGCGACGCTTCTGTTTGATCACCCGTCGGCTGGCGGTATCGTCTCTCTACTGACAGCCTCTGTTTCCTTTGAGGTGAGTCCACCGTGTACTGCTTTCATGCCCATGATTGAAAGCCAATCGCAAACAAGCAGTGTTTCTCTGGTCGCAGCGGAGGCGCAGGTGGCTACGCCCAATGGTGTTTTGGACGATCCGTTGCGTGAAGCACCGCATAAAATGAAGGCCGTGTACGCTTCCAGAGATGGTGGCGACATCGAATGGAGAGATTTGCGGCGCCCGCTGTTTTTTCGAGGAAATCAAGAGGCGCATATGCTTATTGTTGCAGTCTGCACTGTTGGACTCTCCTTGGCTGATAATTTGTTCCTCCATGGACGCTATCAAGTCAAAAAGCCTCATCCCATAGTACCGGGTCTTGAAGGTAGCGGTATTGTGACGGCGACATCGAGGGGTCGTGCTTCGCCGCTCGTGCGTGACAAGATTGGATTTGGATCTTTGTACAACGGTTGCTGTGCAGAAGAAGTGCTATTTCTCCATTCCGAGTGTGCGAAGCTTCCTGATGAAATCTCGGACTTGTAGGTTGTCAGCTATGCTGCTCTGGGCACTAATTACACGACGATTTATTTTGCTCTCATATATAGGACACCTCATTTGGAGTGGGACGGGAAGATCTTGCTCATTCTTGGTGCCGCGGGTGGAGTCGGCACGGCTGCTATCGAAGTGGGAAAGAGTCTAGGTCAGACGACCATCATTGCCTGTGCGAGTTCACCTACAAAGCGGGAGCTGTGCAAAGCGCGTGGCTCTGACTTTGTTGTCGACTACACGGCTTGAGGCTGGCACCGTGACGTCCTTCATTCCACCGATTAAGCTGGGGTCCACTGTGTCGTTGATCCGGTAGGTGGAGACTATATGATTGGGTGTCTCCGCTGCACGAGACCAGGAGGTTGTATCTTGTCTGTTGGCTACGCAGCTGGTATCCCTTAAATTCCAATCGAACAGCTACTTCAGAGGAACGTGTCTTTGGTTGGTGTGTGGACGTTTGTGTTGCATTATCCCACTGAAGTATGAGCCTCAGCCTAAAGGTGTGTTGAATATTGGCTCTAGGGGTTGTTCAAGGCGATGATTGATGAGATACTACCAATGAATTTGTTCAGGGACGGCCTTGCAAAGATAGTGAATCGTCAAGTTTGAGGAAAAGTCGTTATGGTGATAGCATCGGCAGAATGGGCGGTGTTGTCCCCGTCTTATGTCCATGCCCCCATTGCGCTTGGTGGAGACCAAGGCGCAAAAGTTACTTCGAACCGAGCTGCCGTAGAAAAGAGGACCGCTAGACATCAGGAGTACACCTCAGCTACGGCGCACAACAACCAGCACAATCTATGCTCTCTCAGTGCAAACAAAAGCGCGCTCGTCGTAATCATTTCTTCTGCTTACAAGGTTAGTAATTCACTGTCAAGCGGATCCCTGTTTCGGGAGTTGGTTATCCGTGCGCTGTCGTCCCCGGCATCTGTTCCTCGAGCACGGTGGGAGCTACCTGCTTCAGCTCCTTTAGCGACAACTTACGGAGGATTTGTGCACAACATGTTCGCACTATCGCGCTCCGACTTGGGCATGTCCGCTGCAGAAGCTTCGTCTACTGACCCTCAGTAACTCATGTTGCTTGAGAGCGCAAGTGCCATTATAATCAGCCCGTTGGACAAACACATCGGGATATTTGTAGGGTTAGGTGGAATGTCGAGGGCGATGCCTCTACCAAATAGCACCAAAACGCCAAGCGTCGAGTAAATCTCATGGGCATATTCAGCTAGTGGAAATCTTCTAGCAATCGGCTCTGGATGAATATCATATCATCTCGGTCTTACAGGGCCATGTCTCACCCTCGATACTGCGTGCTCTACATCCTTGGTGGCTCTACACCTAGCGACAACGGCGCTACACAGAGATGAGTGCGTTTGGGCTAGTGGTGTGAATGTGTCCACGCTTAACCAAGGTACATCAGTGTCTTTTGCTGGGGGTGGTATGCTTTCTTCTGTGGGTCGGTGCCACACATTTGACCAGCGTGCAGATGGATACTGTCGTGGTGAAGGATGCGGGGCTTTATTGCTGTCTTATGACCTGGATGCTAAGACAACGGTGCGAGACACAAAGGTATAACAAGACGGCCCAAGCGCGAGCCTCACAGCGCCGAATGGGTCATCCCAAAGCTGACTGCTGAAAGCTGTCTGAGGGAGCAATGATGCCATGGGTTCGGTGCTTGAAGCGCATGGCACAGGCACGGCACTCGGAGATCCAATCGAGGTGATTTTTTGCAGGAATCATCCGCGGGAGGAGACTCAAGTTAGAAAGACAATTTTCAAATCATCTTGTTCAGGTTGGAGCTGCTACTGGAGCTTTTTGTGAGCACTCTCGACGTCTACGATGCGCATCTTTGAAGTCAAACATGGGTCACTTGGAAGTTTGCGCTGCCGCGGCCGGTCTCATGTCACTCGGACTTGTTGTTCTCGATGCATGTGTTATTACTACAAATGCGCAGCTGCGGTAGTGCGTCCACTTTTTGCGCAGGATTGACTGAGTCCTGCGCATGGTAGGATGAACACGCACTTGTCCTCGATGGTGTCATAGTGAATTGAATTGCCTGCTGATTTACTGCTGGAAGGTAAAAGTCTATAATCACCAGTGGGTCGTCTCAGCTCCTTCGGCTTCAGCGGAACCATTGCGCATGGGGCCTTTGTGGCTTAGGTGTGTTCAGGCTTATCCCTCGACAAAGCCTAGTCAGCCTCCTTCTATCGTGCTTAGTGACAAACGGTCTATCGTGCGAGTTGATGGACTACACAATAGGACCCTGAAGTCGCCTTTAGCTCGTTCTCATTTGTCACGTCAGGCTGCCTGTTGCCCTCGACGCAAGCCAATCTCGCAGATCATGTAGTTGGAGGAAGCATTCTACTTCCGGGTGTCGGCCACATCGAGTTGGCCCTGGAGTCTCTTGAGTCGAAAGAGGCACTCGCTGGAGTTTAATTTCTACGGCCATGCTTACTACCAGATCCTGACCTGAGCTGATGCATCTTGAGATGTACGAGCCAAGCTTCTGGGGCATTTGCGATTGCAAGTGCGACAACATAGGGCCAACCGACACTTACGAATCACTGCATAGGAAACCAGGGAGCAGGTTAAGCTAAGAATGATTGAACGACCAGCCATCCTGCACGGATACAGCCTGCTCCGAGGGCCAATCTAATTCAGACTACAGAGGCTCAGTGCTACTCTGGATTGTCATCAACAAGGTCGAGCAATCGTGTGGTTGCTAGCATTCGTCGTGTTGCTGCCGATCACTTTCTCAGCAGCACAAAGCGAAACTAAGCGAGCGGTGACTATCAAGAAAGAGAAAATAATACACCTACAAGCTGATGCATCAGCAAGTATGAAAGAGCAAGCACTTCGCTACGCGAGCCTGGTATTCTAGGCTCGGACCTCTGCAATAGTCCATCTACTGCAAGAGACAACATGCGGTAGTTCGATCAATAGTTCGGTTGTGCAAGAGAAGAACCATTGCAATCCTGGTTGCCTATCGGGATCTGCAGCTACCCTTGACCCATATAGGGCGAGTCTACCATGATATCAGTCATGCATGGTGCTTTCTGATGATCAAACAGCATAAGAGCCTCGAGTAGCTCCAGGATACAACTCTTCTCTAGATCAGGCGAAATCAGGTATAGCTGCGCAACACGCGATCGAGGTCCTCAAGGCCGCGTGTCTGGAGGAAGAACCTCCTAGGGGTGGCTGCGCTTGATTTTAGTCGAGGTCAGGCCAAGATCTATGAGACTTGTGCCACCTTAACCTTCATAGTCCCCCGGGTGCAAGCCAATTTGGCCACGAACGGCAGACTAGATCAAGCATAAATTTGGGCTTGCGACAAGCAAAGGAAGCCAAGGTCCAGTTTGCTAAGAGCCGCACGCATCGAGAAACAACTTGACTGTGGCTAACGTGGTTCATCGAGTCGTATCAGACCTCCTCGGGACGGCCGTTCCAGACGACACACCTTTGATGAGTGCCGGTCTGGACTCGCTTGGTGCTAGCGAGCTCGCCACTACACTAGGTAAAACAATGAGCATTGATATAGAACCCACGGCGCTGTTTGATCATCCAACGCTTGTAAGTCTTACTTATCTACTGGACCGAGGAGCGGGCTCGTGCATAGAGTCCGGACACAGTGTGGAAATGCGATTGCCCGTGATCATAGCTTGAGACTAGCAGGGGCAGCTGCACGGCCTTGCTGCAGATGCGTTCTGAGTCCCAATTGCAGAACAAGCTTGCGAAGCTTCCGAGCTATACAATCTTTCTCACCTTCAATACGTCACCTGTTGAACTATTCCTCTTCTTCGCTGGAATATGGATTCGGTGGACACTTTTCGTTTCAACGCTGACGCACGCCTGCGAACACGCTATGGTTCCTTCTTACAATCGGACTTTGGATTGTTTGATAATACCATATTCCGTATAGCCCCGGCGGAGGCGGTTGCGCTGGAGCCTTAGCAGCGGCTCTTATTAGAAGTGGGATACATGGCATTTCGGAGAGGAGGCTAAGGCCGCTCAACGCTGCTCGATTCTGACACCGGCAACTACACCGGCATGATGAACATGGATGCGGCGCAATTCCTACCGTCACTGCCTCGTCCATACGATCTAACCGGCGTCAGTTACTCGGCCGCTGGCGCTCGCTTGTCATATGTTTGTGCAATGCGTGGACCTTGCATGGTGTTCGACACCGCCTGCTCATCAAGTTTAATTGCAGTGCACGTCGCACGGCGCTGTATGCAACACAATGAGTGCTTGCATGCGTTAGCCGTTGGCCCGAATGCGATTTTGCATCCAGGTGCTCATGCTAAACCAGCCTTGACGGGGATGACGTCTGCTCGTGGTCGCTGTCACACCTTTGACTCGCGAGCAGACGGCTACCTCCGGGGCGAAGCCTGCTGCGCTGTCATTTTGACTGTAAGTGCAAATACCTCTATCGCAGCTTTGGGCACCTCCGCCCGTCACAATGGATAAAGTGCAAGCTTCACGGCGCTCAACGGCTTGTCGTAGCAGATCTTGTTGCGAGCCGCTCTCTGAGATGCCACTTGCGCCCCTGGCACTGCGATGGAAGCTCACGGGACCGGGACGGGCCTGGGAGATCCAATCGAAGTCAGCGCTGTATCGGCTGTTGTGTCCAACAGCAAGGAAAAATGTCTCATTTCTGCGTTGAAGGGAAACGTAGGCCATACGGAATCGACTGCGGGCGTGGCCGGTGTTCTCAAACTTGCTAGATCTTTGCGTGGTTGCGAAGGTACCAGGAATGTGCAGCTGTATGCGCTCAACCCGCAAGTGCGGCAGGCCCGAGTAAGCGTGCTAAGCGTCCCCACAGACAGTCAAGTAGCGCAGCTCGAGAGAGGAGGTGTGAGCTCGTTTGGGTGGAGTGGCATCATCGCACATGGAGTGCCCGGACAGTCGGCTAGTTTGTCAGACCATCCTCAAACTAGCTAAGTAGTGTATTCACAGTATCGTGCTTGGAGGTAATTGACATGACGCAGTCAGGGTAGTGAGCGATTTTGATTCTATTGAGGGTCATCTAGGCAAGAACAAGAACATGTCAGATTAGCACTGTATTCCGAGGGCTGGTAAGAGTGTTTATGAGTCTCCACAAAAACATGTGGCTATGTTGGCGCAGAAGCACAAACTCACGCATCTGCTGATATTCCCCACTCTGCAAAATATGAAATAATGTCCCAATGTGAACAGGCTCAGTAATATCTCTAACTTGAATCGGCCAACTCCAAGAACAAGTTCCAATCGTGGGATTTTCAAAGAAAATTTCATCTTTCTTTGCATTGCATTTATGTCGGTAGCAGCTGGCACGGTTCAAGGCTGCCTTCATCTGTAGAATACATCTCGAAAATTTCGGCGACACGACCGGTCAAGAAAATTGGTGCACTTGAGCCATAAATGATCACCGACCCGTTTTTTTCACTTTTCTCCTCTGGGAATCACGCATGCCTCTTGAGTATTTCTAGCTACTAATTTGGTGATTGTGCGCTTGAGTCTCAAGTGACAATATGGCTACTGCTATGTCTAGAGTCTGATGGCGCTTCCATTGATGCTATCGTGTCGGAGCACTGAAGTCGCGGTCAACTCACGAGTAGCATGTCATTGCCTGGATCTCTCTTTAACACAGACGCCTCGACTGGAAAAGCATTGTGGATGTTATAACAATCTAGTTCCATCGCCGCTCACATGTGTGCTTTCGAGACTCCAAGTCCGCTATTACATAATACTGCGGGCGAAGTAATCTCAGGGTCCCGCGTATAGGAGTCATCTGGTTGAATCACATGAGCATCTGCTCCGACAATCGATTGAGCTTCTATCAAGACACTGGTATGTTCGGTTGCCTGGGAGGCTCTTGGTACATCAGTAGACACAAACACTCCGTTGATGTCTGCAGGCTTGGACTCAATCGCCGCGACGAACTTCACGCAGACCCTATCCACAAAATCTGCTTTGGATGTTAGCCCGATGATGCTATTCGACCATCCGACACTAGATTCCATTGCGGTCCTTCTTTCGAAAAATCTCGATAGCTCCCGGACATCTGAGCCTCAGGTACCTTGCAAGTAACCTCACATTGCGCTCCCGTTTTTGCCAAGCGAAGAACAAGGGCAAGCGTTAATGACATTGATAGCATGGAGCTTTTAGTTGGCAAGGTCGCTGTGCTTCAACGATGAGTTGCGCTCAGTATCGATGCGCGCTCACGTGACTAACTCGAGTGTCCCTTTGATGCGATGGGCAACAGTCAATCGCTCAGTATTGGCAGCCGCGGACTACGGGTCATTTACCAGCATTGATCAGTAGAGTATTGATGCACTCATTTTCAATATTTCAATCCCCGAAGCGAATTCGGTCGATCTGCAGCAAAGAGTTGTGTTAGATGTTGGCTACCGCACGCTTCAACAAGGTTACAAACAACAAGGTTACAAACAAAAGGATGCTTCAGTGCGAGTCCAGTTGGTGTATGGGAATATTGGCGTGTTCGTCGGTGTTGAGCCTAGCGGCACGAGGAATGATAACATGGACGTGAATGTGTTCAGTGCTAGTGGTGGGGCGCTGTCTATTGCGTCGGGGCGGTTGTCGTACACGCTCGGCCTCGTTGGGCCGTGTGAATCCATAGACACCGCCTGCGCTTCTTCCCTAGTTGCTTTGCACTCTTCGTGAAGAGCTCTCCAAGGGCAAGAATGTCATGAAGCGGTCAAGATTGGCACCAAAATTCTGAGCAAAGAGGCGAGTACCGCGATATCCATTGCGGGGATGACGTCGATTCGGGGGCGATGTCACACGTTCGACGTTCACGCAGACGGATACTGTCGTGGCGAAGGATGCAGCGCCTTCCTATTCTCCTTCCGCTCCAAAGTAGAAGTCCTTGGCACGGCTGTGCAGTAAGACGGCCCGAGCGCGAGTCTGACGGCACCCAACGGGTCGTCGCAACTCCGACTTCTCAAAACGGTGCAAGATACTCACGCGAGATGGCTCGCACTTGAGGCGCACGGCACGGGTACGGCGCTAGGAGATCCCATTGAAGTACTTTAACCGCCAATACTGGAGTGAGTTATTTCTTCTAGGTGGGTGCGGCCATTGGAGCCTTGCGTGTGAAATATGGGCCAGTACAGTGCGCATCTTTGAAGTCAAATATGGGTCACCTGGAGGCGTCGGCGGCCGCAGCAGCATTGACCTCTCTTGTGCTCGTTCCAATTATTATGTGCGTTATCGCCATCAACGTGCAGCTCAGGCTGCACGTTCTCTCTCAGACGCAGGATGTGCTCAAGACGCACCACCAGGCTGAACGTGCACTTGGGTTCAAGCATTTCGTTCCAATTTAGGATGCCCGCCGAGGGGTCGCCAGGTGAAAGTCATCAACCTTCCCTAGGCCGACTAAGCTCGTTCGGCTTTAGCGGGACCATCGCGCACGGTGCCTTTGTGGCCTTGGCAAGTTCACGCTCGTCCCTGGACACCTCTGAGTCGTGCTCCTTCTATCGTGCTCACCGACTTGCGCTTCCTGGCCAGCGGCCCGCAAGTCGATGGTTTGTGCACCCTAAGGTCCCCAAAAGTTCAAACTCGTTGATTGAGGGAGGCTCATCGCCGTTCACGCAAGCCGCGCTTTCAGATCATGTAGCTGGAGGCAGCATCCTACTTCCGGGTGTCGGCTACATTGAGCTGGCCCTAGGGTGTCTGGAGCATTAAAGGGCGCTCACTGGTGTGCAATTTCTTCGGCCGTGCATATTACTAGAGCCTGGCTTCAGCCGATGCGTCTTGCGATGCACAAGGCAGATTTCTGGAGCGTTTGCGATTGACAGCGCGACAACCGATGGCCAACTAACGTTCTTGAATCACTGTTCGGGAAACTTCCCGAGAGGGTGAAGTGACCACGACGGCTGTCCTGCACCGCCGCTCCACACTTTGATGACCAATTGCAGTCCTACGAAGTCCTCAAATCGAGTGGCTGGCAGTTTTTCAGGAGCGCAACGATCGACGTGCACTGATGTCGCATCTGTCGACGGTCGGCAATCCGCAGAGAGGGCGGATGTCCTTGGAACTATAACTGCGACGGCGTGGTCACCTTTGGAGTTGAACTTCTTGCCAAGCGCAGGGTGGCAGAGCGTGTGCGCTTTTGTGCTACGGAGAATGCCACGTCCCCGTATTGGGCGCAGTCCACGACCGAGATTGTGATGGCATCATCATAAGATACGTGTGGCGGGCTGTTTCTAAATACGACCTTACAGACCTCGCAATTCAAGCGCCAGCTACCCTCAAAGTATGCTTGGCTTTGATTTCTGTTGGCGTCAGATCATACGTGCACCTCTGGTGATCAGCTTTGTTTCAGGCAGGAACTGCATCCGGTGATCTGTTTTTCCTGTGCAAGAGCTCCAACAAGGGACCATTCTGTCTGATCAGTTCATGTGGAGGATAGAGTTGTGTGCCGACTTATAGCATCTCCACGACAGAATCAATGTCTGGCTCATAAATACAGTGGACAAGCCAGATAGTTCACCATACAGCTCCAGTACATCCCATTTACGCGGAGTGCCTAGCGATACTCAAGCAGATATATCTAATGCATTAGTGGCCTTGAAAATTAGCGTCCGGGAGGAAACGTCGTCGTGATCTACAATGACGATTCAAATCACAAATAAGTGGAGCACAAACCAGCGAGATAAGTGTGCCCTTCAGGCGACAAGACAGTGTCGCGTAGACACTGCGCCCGCAAAAGCATCGACCGTGGCAGTGTCGCTGTCGAATGTGTTCTCATTCAACTTTCCAGGAAGCCTCTCCACGACGTTTGGGCTCAAGCACGTGGCGACTGGTGCTCTCGCGACGAACTCTGGGGTGCCTTTCTCTCGTTGGTAGAGCGCACAAGGCGGCGCTTTGTACGAATCGGCAACTTATGGGTCCTTCACCGAGTTCGCGTCGGACGGAGCTGCTTTTGAAATCTCGAGGATTGAATCGCAAGGCATGAATCCTCAGATGATGGCGGTCCTCGAAACAGCGACGTCCACGCTATGTGCGTCGAGCTGCCGTGCATCACTCGTAAATACGCCGGTCGGTTTTTTCCTCGGCGCTGGCGGCTCCATGTCAAGTGAGGGTGTTGGGACAGATGCTGCTAATACAAAGGCGCTGTCGGTGTACTCGGGAACCTCAGGAACACTCTCTGTGGCGTCTGGTCGAGTGTCTTTTACGCTTGGGCTTACAGGGCCCTGCTTGACGGTGGACACGGCGTGTTCGTCGTCGCTTGTCGCTACCCATCTGGCAGCGTCGGCTATCAAGCTGGCCGAGTGTCCGCAGGCGGCGGCGACGGGGGTCGGCATGCTGACGCAGGCGGTATCGATTGCGTTCTCAGCCGCGCGCATGCTCTCGGCTTTTGGACGCTGCCACACATTCGATCGCCGCGGAGACGGGTACTGCCGCGGCGAGGGCTGCGGGGCGTTTCTGTTGTCATCAGGCGCGTTGGAAGTCTCGACTGTTGGCACGGCTGTGCAGTAGGATGGCCCGAGCGCGAGTCTTACCGCGCCCAATGGGTCATCGCAAAGGTGATTGGTGTCGACCGTGCGAGACGGTGATGCCGCAACTCGGTCTTTAGAAGCGCACGGCACGGGCACGGCGCTCGGGGACCCGATCGAAGTAGTCCCTTTTGGTAACCAAAACCACGATTGAATAATTCGCCTTAGGTTGGAGCGGCGATTGAGGCCTTGTGTGAGGGCTCACAGCTGGTACGATGCGCCTCTTTGAAGTCGATCATGGGTCACCTGGAGCCATCTGCGGCCGCCGCGGGTTTGGCGCCTCTTGTGCTCATGCCTCTTGGCACGTGCGTCGTTGCTATGAACGCGCAGCTAAGGCTGTTTGTGACCTCTGTGCAGGAGCTGCTGAATTTCGTACATACTAGGTTGAACGCGCACCTATCCTCGGCGCTGACTTGGTGATTTGAGATGCCCGCTGAAGTGTTGGCCGAAAGCAAACATCAGCGATCATCCGTGGGTCGTCTGAGCTCGTTCGGCTTCAGCGGGACCATCGCGCATGGATCTTTTGTGGCTTTGGTGTGTTAGGACTTAGCCCTGGACACAGCCAAGTCACTTTCCCTCTTTTGCACTCAGAAACCAACCGTTCCTGGGAAGCGGCCACGAAGTCGATGGACTATTCAACCGTACTCTAGCGTCCCGTAAAGCTCGGACCCAAGCGTTACTAAAGGCCCCGTGTCGCTCTCGATGCAAGCCACTCTCATGGAACATGTAGTTAACGGAAATATCCTACTTCCACGTGTTGGCTACGTCGAGCTCGCCTTTGGGTCTCTCGAGCTGCCAAAATTGCTTACTGGTGTGCAGTTCTTGCGGCCGTGCATGCTACCAGAGCCCTCTATGGGCTGATGCGTCTTGCGATGCCTGAGTCAAATTTCTTGAGCATTCACGATTGATAGCGCGACAACGGAGGGTCAAGTAGCTTTTTTGAAACACTGTGCGGGCAGCTTTTCGCAAGCAAGCAACAACCAGAATGCCACCAAGATCGGCTGCCTTAGGCTGGCGCTTCATGGTCATAATTTTAAAAATTCCTTGTGGCGAGCGGCGGACGGCTTCTCAGGATCCCAATGACAGACCGGCACTGATTTTCCGTCTCTTGATGGTCGGCAATCCACAGAAATTACGTCAATCCACGGAACTTCAAATGCAAGTATGCTGTTACCTTGAAGGTGAATTTTCTTGCCAAACGCACAGCGGGCGAGCATTTACGCTTTTGTGAAAGCCCAATCGTGAACTTTTCTGAAACCCCAATCATCTGCACATTGCGCCTCGGGAGTCTGGCTCCGCAGAAAATGCACGCCCGGCTAGGTGCCATCCTGTTAAGCTAGCAGCCCAGCCCCCCTTTATCTGCAAAGTAGGCCTTGCAATGATTTCATATGCGCACCTTGGGTAATTAACGTGCTTTTAGAGAAAGAGTGCATCAAGTACACTGTTTTTCGTGTGCAAGAGCATCAATATGGCGTGCTCGCACCTGATTAGTTCAGATTGAGGATAGATTTGTGTACCACCTAGCATGTACATGAGGGGATTCCTGTCTGATTTGTGGACGACTCAGGTAGCAATACGTTTTCACAAAACCGGTCTTGAGCATCGGCTCCAGACCGGGCACTACTCGCTGATACCACTCCGAAGTGAATACTAGCACTTGGCTTCGCAAGTTTCGATGCTGCTGACAGGGGAGTGAGCCATCTCGTCTTTAGCAAACACGGCTAAGATTCCGAAATAGGTCGCGGAAGCTTCTTAGGTATCACACCGGTCGCATCTCATGGTACTATCTTATGGACCTGTCGGATTGTATTGGCGCGTGCATCTCTGACTTCAACAGATAGCCGAGTACTATCCAAAGCACCATAACAACCAAGGCCTGTTCAAGTGCATTCTCCCGTCCAATGCGAAAGCCTCCGCACAAGGCGGCGCTTTGTACGAATCGGCAACTTATGGGTCCTTCACCGAGTTCGCGTCGGACGGAGCTGCTTTTGAAATCTCGAGGATTGAATCGCAAGGCATGAATCCTCAGATGATGGCGGTCCTCGAAACAGCGACGTCCACGCTATGTGCGTCGAGCTGCCGTGCATCACTCGTAAATACGCCGGTCGGTTTTTTCCTCGGCGCTGGCGGCTCCATGTCAAGTGAGGGTGTTGGGACAGATGCTGCTAATACAAAGGCGCTGTCGGTGTACTCGGGAACCTCAGGAACACTCTCTGTGGCGTCTGGTCGAGTGTCTTTTACGCTTGGGCTTACAGGGCCCTGCTTGACGGTGGACACGGCGTGTTCGTCGTCGCTTGTCGCTACCCATCTGGCAGCGTCGGCTATCAAGCTGGCCGAGTGTCCGCAGGCGGCGGCGACGGGGGTCGGCATGCTGACGCAGGCGGTATCGATTGCGTTCTCAGCCGCGCGCATGCTCTCGGCTTTTGGACGCTGCCACACATTCGATCGCCGCGGAGACGGGTACTGCCGCGGCGAGGGCTGCGGGGCGTTTCTGTTGTCATCAGGCGCGTTGGAAGTCTCGACTGTTGGCACGGCTGTGCAGTAGGATGGCCCGAGCGCGAGTCTTACCGCGCCCAATGGGTCATCGCAAAGGTGATTGGTGTCGACCGTGCGAGACGGTGATGCCGCAACTCGGTCTTTAGAAGCGCACGGCACGGGCACGGCGCTCGGGGACCCGATCGAAGTAGTCCCTTTTGGTAACCAAAACCACGATTGAATAATTCGCCTTAGGTTGGAGCGGCGATTGGGGCCTTGTGTGAGGGCTCACAGCTGGTACGATGCGCCTCTTTGAAGTCGATCATGGGTCACCTGGAGCCATCTGCGGCCGCCGCGGGTTTGGCGCCTCTTGTGCTCATGCCTCTTGGCACGTGCGTCGTTGCTATGAACGCGCAGCTAAGGCTGTTTGTGACCTCTGTGCAGGAGCTGCTGAATTTCGTACATACTAGGTTGAACGCGCACCTATCCTCGGCGCTGACTTGGTGATTTGAGATGCCCGCTGAAGTGTTGGCCGAAAGCAAACATCAGCGATCATCCGTGGGTCGTCTGAGCTCGTTCGGCTTCAGCGGGACCATCGCGCACGAAGCATTTGCATCTATGGTACACCCAGGACGTTATGCTGACGCACCGGCAACTTCCTGCTATTGAGCTTAGTAAGTAGAGGCTTCTCGGAGACGATCTGCATGGTATCTGGTTCAGGCCGAGAAACAAGATGCGTTGCTTGTTGGATTGCCCTTGTCCATTTTGCTCGTATCGTTAGGTGGGCAGCGACTGGTCGCACCAGTTGATGCCCCACTGATGTCTTGGGCTGGAACCTGCAACGCCGATTCACATAAAGCCATAGGCAAACAGGGACAGGCAAGTCAATGCAATGGTGTCATTTGCATTGTCTGCAGCTAGTGATGTCGTCAAGGCGGTCAAAACAGAAGCGATTCACTTTCCTCCTACCGGTTGATTTGCTCTGTTCAACGAATGCTAGGATCACCGTGAACCGGAAATTACGGCTTCTGTCCCGCATCGGAGGTTGAGCTTCTCCAAGCAAACACCGTGAGCCCACTTGTCTACATAAGAAACAAAATTCCAAGCCTCCATTCATCGTGTCCAAAAGATTACAACCATTGAAATAAGGCCACGGCATACGTGCGTGAGCCATCTTTTCAGTCTCATCGATTGGGCAAGAGTATGTAGTAAATCAAGTCTCCACAGCCAGCGTTTTTCATTCTCACGCAGCAATGACGACTCAAAGTTTGGAGTCCATAGATTCCCCCAGGACCGTTGTCTCAACCTCAGGCTCCGAAAACAAAGTCAGCAATTCAAAGTCAGCTAACAATTACCCCCGACGAAGTCCATGCCGCTGTTAGGGACGCTCTGGCTGGGGTAATCACAGTAGAGAGTAAAATCAGTAACGACACCACTCTGGTAGACCTTGGCATCGATTCTTTGTCGATCGTCGAATTCCGAAACAGGATATCATAAACCACTGCAGTCACCCTCAATAATGATTTTATCTAAAGCAACCCAACACTTGGCGCGATCGAGACTGCTTTGCTTGTAGAGACGTAAATTGCGAGGTTATTGCCGGAGGCATCTTCCTCGTATAATATACAAGCTTCTATGGACCTATTTGTGAGCGCAGATGCTATTCCTAATTGTCATCGATGCATCCGTATTTGGGGTTTTGTGCTCTCTACACCCCGATCGGGATCTTCTTTGCTTCAACTGTGCCTCCATGCGCACTCGATGCTTTTTGCACCATAAGAACTCTATATTTTGTCTTTTGAAACTGTCAATCAACGTCAATTGGCACTCCCCGATGCAATGGGGCTCTCCAGTGGTCTGATCCAGGCTATCGTTGAGCTAAAAGCGTCAGACAGCGTGCGTGCGAAAATGACTATAGCAATACAGGCCATTTCTTCTATCAGCATCTTATAGCTGTCTCAATAACTTTAGGATTGGACCTCCCCCAGGCTGTTTATCGACAAGACGCCGTCGTACTCGAGCGATATTCGCGTGTTATGACAAGCCGAGTCCTGATTTTAGCGAGCAAGATATCTCTTTATATCTCGTCACCCCGTGCCATGCATCGCATCCTGGGTTGATCTCATGAAGAAGAATCTAGCACTTCAAAACAAAGTGGCAGATGTCGAATGGAGCACCATCGAGCCCGAGTGGGTTGCGCACAACTAGAATATTATCCAGATGTTTACCGAGGTGCCTGGCAATTGCCGTGCGCGAGTGTGATACGAGGACCTTGTTCGCTCACCGATCCATGTCCTTAGCTCCACATCTGCATTTCTAGGACTTGAATTTGAGCTTCAAATGGCAAATCCCTACAACACCAACGCCGTAGAATCTTTTGCCATCCATGGTGGTGTGGCGGCGACGGACCCCAAGCTGCTCAAGAAATCATCCATTGACCCCAGGTCTCATCAGCCGTGTCTAGTCCCGAATTCTGTCTAGGTCAAGACAGAGACATACGCAGCTTGGCCGACAAGTGGAAACTAAAGCTCGGTTCTTGTGCTCTTTCCTCGTCAGCCAGGTAGGTAGGTTGGGAGTTGGGATATGCAGCAAACCTAGAATCTGCTCATGTCTTTCGTGTCATCAAGCAGGTTTCTGATTCATTTGTCGGCACATTGAGGTGTGGTACGCAACAGACAGCTGCGATCATTATCACGTACGATGGGCTTGGCTTTTAGTATGGAGCAGGTTTACTATCTTTGCTATCAACCAATCAGACACTGGTCGCCTTACAAGCCCCCGAATTTGTGTCTGAGTAGCAAACCTTTGCCGATGTGGATTCTTGAGGCAGGCATCACACTGCAATCCTTTGACAGCAACTCTCTGGAAGCAGCGCATGCCTCGTGGGATATTCGTTTGGGGGGCTGCTCGCTACTTCCATCAGGAAGGGCCTAATACTAACACAGCCTGTGAGCTTGTTGTTGATTGACCCCATGCCGTACAGTTCCAGGTCATCGAATTTGGCTGTAGCTTTATCCAGGCTCGAACAGTGGCAGTATG